AACTCCGAAGTTAGCGCAATAGTCTACCCACTGAATTTCAACAGTGTTGTATAACTGAAAGATGGCTGAAATCTGTTCAAGGTTCCCCTCAAAGTCTTCAACAACAGTATTTTCCACGGCTAACAACTATGAAGGAAAATCACTTTCATTTCAACGTAAAAAAAATACTTAAGATCATGATTACACTGTGTATGATAAAATGGTCCGCTAAAAATACTGAGAGATAGAGATTTTATTGCATAAAACCTCTCTGAAATACTTGAAAGTACAAACAGCTGCCCATTGTTCTTGTCGTATCAGATGATCTTCTGATTGAAATCACAGAGTTACTGATGCCACTGTATCGAATCGGTTCTTTAGTAACATTATCGGATGTAATTGACGTGGCAGAATATCTGATTTACATCATAATTTTTACCAAACTTTCTGGAACTTTGTGAAGACAACGGAGGCACGTAAATGTGCATGACGCGTTGGTTACTTTTATTGCAAGCTGGAGGCGGGGTTCAAAGTTCATAGTTGGTTTTATCTGATGTGCTGTCTGTGTAGCCGTTAACATAAAGTGAATGGTAGTTTCTAAACTGTAACTTCGATTTGCATTGATCTTACGTCTGAGAGTATTTTGAAGCATTAAAGACGAGTAAAGCAAGTATTGTGAAAGTTCTCTAGGTTTATCCGAAATCCATTCTCGCATATACCGAAAGTAAGGACGGATTTCCGCCCTCAGCTAGCTAAGCGAGAGTTCCGAGTTTAGTTCTTCCCTTCCCCTACTTAAGTAAGTTAGTTCAAATTGTACTGTTATCTACTGTAATCTATATATTTACACCAACATATATTTTAAGAGGGATACTGGGACCGGACCTGTGAACGGAACACGATGTACTTAAGCTGCAACCATGGGGTGATCGATGTTCGAAGCGCATGGTACGGACGCGACCGGTCGGGAGTTTGCTCGGAGAGGGGAAGTACAGAAAATACAAACTGTTACACCGGTGCTACGAGTTACGTCAGTGGCGAATGCGACGGGCGATCATACTGCAGCCTTTACGTTTCGAATTCAGCTTTTGGAGATCCGTGTGTTGGCACTGTGAAATATCTGACGGTAGGTTCAAAGTTCAAAGAACAACTTAAAGTATATGACTTACAGGGAGGGACTCTTCAGCCCAAATTTGCAAGTTAAAGCCCAATTGATGCTAGCAAAAGCCCTGGCCGTAGAAGCTCTTAATTTCTTTCGCAGAACATAAGTGGGAAAAAATGTATGAAAGCTTATGGTAAGTGTCCTGTGATAACCAATAGCATGTTAATATGACTAGAATAATGATCATATGACTTTCGAAACGAGTGGTGAACACCCAGTTTAACAATTTGATGTTTCGTCTGTTGTTGGCTGTCGAATTGAAAAAGGTAGAGAAAGGAATACTCTGACACCTGATCCTGTAACCTCCTGTCCTCCTTTAAAGAAGCAGTTGAGGTAAGTTTTGTAGTATTCTTGATCCACAGGTCTCGTATAGATGTAAAACGGGAGGACGACAAAGACTGAAGAGAATTTGCGAACGCAGCTGGGGTGACATTCGTTGTTACGGCAGTGACAGAATCGATGTCCTATCGGCGTTTTACGGCCGCAAGACGGGTGGACACGTCTGCTCAGGTTCGGTATATACTACATCCTGCGAAACTTCAGCGTACAGTTATGTGTATCGGAACTGCGATGGAGATCAGAGTTGCAGTTTGCACGCACATAACCACCACTTCGGTGATCCTTGTCAGGGAACATATAAATATCTGGAGGTTAGTGAATGTAACGCACCCTTAGAGGAGAATTATTCAGGAAATTCCTCAGTTGCGCGCATTTAAGCAACCTTCTGACCAACCCCTTGCTAATTGTTACTCATTTGTTTCTGTAGTTTCATGAGAATTGAAGCTTTTTATCCAACTAGGAAATTTGGTATTATCAGCTGAGTCAATAACGTAACTTGACCACCGTAAAGAGTTTTGAAGCTGACGTTTCAAGTATTAGCCTTTCGTCAGAGTGACAGACGAAGGGCTAACGCTCGAAACGTCAGCTGCGAAACTCTTTACGGTGGTCAATTTACGCTATCAACTCAGTGGATAATACCAAATTACTCTGTTATACTCTCTCACTGACGCAGCACCACAGTCTCTTTACAAACTTACCCCCTCTATTTATCTTAATCCAACTGTCTACCTCACCCAACGAGGGGAATCATAGGAATATTAAAGAGCCTTATTGGGGGGAATCAGGTAACTTTTAGCGTGACACAGCCGGTATCCGGCTAACACTACATAATTAAATGAATAGATTTGTTGATAACTGGATTCTTTTTGCCTTAGGGAATATATAGATAGAAACTTACCACACTCATTCGCTGTTGTTATTTTCACAAGTCTCGGCAGCAGTAAAAAAGAAAATAAAAATGACGATTGCCTTTTTTTTCATTTTAATACAGGTTCGATACAGATGCAAGTGATCAAAAGCTTCAGCCACCCGCGAGAGACTGGACTCCACTAATCAAGAAATGATCCAATGTAGCTTGTAGAGTTTATGTGAAAAGGATCATTAAACTTCACTTCAACTCCACGCTGATGAAATTTTTCTTTTTCCTGAATAAAATTGGTCGCGATTTGAGGCTGAAAATACGGAAGTAAAGACGTACTTGTACGAAGATCTCCACAATTTGGGAATGTTCAATCATTTTTATCAGAAGTCTTTGCCAAATTTATAGAAGTGACTTTTCCTTAAACATAATCTGACTCAGCACTCACGTCAATCCGGTTTCATCCAGTTGTGTGTCCGTCCGTCCCACATGGAAGTCCTCTTGATTAAAAATTGAGACAACTTCATAAATCGAGTTTAACCCCAACCTCCCTTCCCATGAACTGAAAATCCAATACGCCAATGGTTAATAATCGCGACAATACGCAGAGAACAACAATATTTTTTTCTATTTTGTTCACAACAACAAGGAAAACACAGAAGCTACATTCTTTTTTTCACACCAACACGAAATTTTTTTGTTTCTTATTGTAGACATGAAAAGATCCAAGATTGCGTGGAAATTAAAACTAAATCAAATTGTCGAAACGATACTTAACTCTCTACACCCTAACATCAATATTCATATTCTCCACACTGTCCTCTTTACATTTGCTATGATATTGACAAGGAGAATTTGTTTGAGAATCAGGAGTTTCTTGAATTGGTGATCATTTCCTTTTTTCTCGTTACCTTCATACTTGATTCAAGCATGTTCCTGTAGGGAGAAATTAGAAACCAGTCGCTCTCTGGGGTTAAAGAATTCATGGGAAGCATCCTAGATATTTTGTCAAGCAAATATTTCATCATGACCTCGGTAAAACGATCCGTGAACATTTAATTAATTATGAACATGTTTTATTGAGAACACAAAAGATAAGTGTTTCATCTATAAATTCAATACAAGCCGCAAAGCAATTATACAATAGTTGATTCTTCAACTCATTAAACTGGAGAGCTAAACGGGAAGTTGACAAGTAGTTTGCGGTGGGCATAGGGTAAAACATGGACTGGACTATTTTTGGACCATTTTTTGGACCATTTTTTGGACCATTTTTTGGACCATTTTTTGGACTATTTTTTGGACCATTTTTTTGGACTATTTTATAGGGGGAAGCATACCATTAGTACTCAGGGAGGGATGGGATGTAGTCTACTAGTACTGAGGGAGGGGTGGGAGGCAGAGTGTTATTACTCAGGGAGGGGTGAGAGAAGGACTATTGCTAGGCAGTGAGGGGTGAGAGGTGGATGTAAGAGTAAACACTATTTGTTAATGGAGCTTTTACTCGATCCTACAAATTATCTTCATCGGTTTTTCGACTGACTTTTTGAATGTTCTTCATTTTTGTCGTCCTGCGAAAGCGAAACTGCCACGTGAACACTGGACTTTGATTTCTAGTGAAAATATCGCGTTTAAGATCCTCTACTGTTGAGTTATGCCTGTGCCTTTTGAGTCGGCATGTGTACCATCAGTTGCTTCACGGTTCCCTTCGTGTATACAGTATGTAATTACTAAATTTATCGATCTTCCTTTTGTCATTCATATTATCAGACGAGATCACGAAATTTCCTGTCATTAGCCCTAAACTTAGCAGCATATAGAATTCACGTATTCACAAACAAAGGAGTTAATCTCCAACACCGGAAATAGCGACCAGGCATTCCTCGCGACTCCCTTATGTTTGTTTTCCAATTTGCTCGGGCCGCTGCCAATCACTTCTTGTGTAAAAACCTACGTAACCTGCCAAGTGGAAGTACGTTGGCTACTGTTGCTTGCCGATATTTTCCGTCGGCAAAACGGAGCAGTCAGTAAGTGTGACCGATTCTGCCCGGAAAATTTTATTGTCTGCAGCTTGGATATGTCAGGAGAGTTTCATTGACAGCTGGATTAATTACACCCCATGTTGTGAAACCATTATGAAGACATCGCGCTTTCCTTCGCTTTTTTTTGTCACATACAAAAAGGGAAACGTGAGGCAACTGAAAGATGATTCATGCTAACCCGTCGGTATCACTTTGCACTGGTACAAGTCGACCTAACAGGCGCAACGCATATCTTAATAGTGGAGGATCGAAAACAGGAATGGAATTGGTGATATTTTCAATGACAATTATAGTCCAGTGTAAGTGCCAGTTTCGCATTCGCATGACAAAAGATTGAAGAAACGCTACGGCCTAGCGCAAAAATTTTGACACAAATAGTCAGTCGAAAAGCCTCTCATCTACATAAAATCACTGTTGTTACAATCGTACAAAGCAATCTTTTCTCTTTTCAGAGACACAGTTTTCCCTTTTCAGATACAATGAACACACACTTGAGTGTGATGTCACGCATTCCAATTCGTACATTGATGATCAAAACAGCACAACTTCAGCACTTGGTAATTTTTCAAATAACATTTTCGCCTTTAATAGCTTAAGGGCACACATTTTCTTTCATATGGCCTCTGCATTGATTCATTAAATTCACACAAGTGCAAATTACAGAATTAACTTTTTCGAAAATAACATATTTCTAATTTACAAATGAATCATTTCCCTTTCGCAAATTACCGTTCCGATTAAATTAATCTCACAAGGAACACGTTTTCATTTTGTTCCGTTTCGCAAATATTACAGTAAGCCCTCTCAGAGACAATGACAAAACGACTTCGACATTTCGCAAAGACTCGAGAGAAAACTTTCCAATTTCTGAAACAGTCAGAGTTCGATAAGTGTTTGCTAACTGCAGGCCAAATCAAAATATTATGCACTAATAGGAAAAACCAAATTGCACAAATAAAGTTTTAAGTGTGCGGGCTGTGCGGAAATGGGCAACGGTAACTTTTCTGTCTACACATGTTATGGCACCTTTTGTTGTGATTGTATGTCATCAAACAAAACAGTGACCGTAACATATTAATAAATGGTGAGAATTTATCATTTCCTGAATGTGGCATTTTTTCCCCCCATATGTACTCTAGAGACCAAGCTCTTTCTGTATATGATTTCGATGAACTTCGAGTAATTCACGCTTAACGGCCGCCGGAATGATCACCAAGAAGGGAATAAATTGGGGCTGCAGTTTTTGGACGCACTCAACCTTACAGTGAAAGTATACGTTTCCTAATCGTCCAGTCTTTTGCTCTCCATTCTGCCAGTAGGCCCATCTCGCGCTTGATATTATGACGAGGTCTTCTGGTGGGTTGGGAATAAAAAAGTCTTCACCACGCCTTAGTTTCAAGACACCCTTACACCCGTAACACCTTCTCACCAGAGGGCTGCATCTTTTAAGAAGGCTCAACTGGAAACTACCTTCTTGAACTGCCGGCGTTGATGTGTTGGGGCTTTTATTCTGCAGATAGAATAAAATTAATGGCATTTTAGTTAACAGCCAAGATTAGTCGGTGGCTGAGTGGGAATTATGCAACGAGCCGACAGTCTTGCCAGATGCTAAATCTTTATAAACCTTATGTCCTGCAGGCCATTTCTACAAATGAAAGGTTCTGTGATTAGGAGGACTGTTTTTTTCGACTTGCCGCGCATTATCACTACAAGCTTTATTTGATAGAGTTTTTATTTCGTTCAACCCAATTAGCTCACCAGTTGGTGAAATAGAACGACTTGCACAGAGCTAACATATAGCGGGACTTTACCATGATCACAGTCGATATAAAAAATCAAACAGTTGGCAGCATAATCACACAAAAAAATTTGAAACCTTTCACCGATCTAAAACCCGAGATAACAGAATCACGCATTACACCCTGTATTAACTGTGAATGATCCTTACAATATATACATACCTGAGGCTCTTCTGTGTCTTTTTGTGTTGTTGTCTTCTCTGCTTCCTTCTCTGTGCCTCTGTTTCCTGGGGAGCTTACTAAAGTCGACGCCGGATTCGCTGCTGATTGGTCAGTTGGAGAGGTGTTAGTGTAACTCTCCACAACTTCCTTTCTTTTTTTATTTGTAGCACCTTTCCTTCTTTGTGTTGCCTTGGTCTTTTTTGACCCACGCCCAGGAGGGAGGTCCATGTGAATCAAGGCATCCACGTTAGGAGGCCTTTGGTTCGTTGTCTTGTAACAATGAACGAACTCAGTCAATGAACGATCCATTTCAGCCACAGCTAAAGTATGGGCACAAATGTCATACGCTTTAAAATCGATACAAGTGCCGCTGCACACATAATATGTTCCACGTCGCACGGTACGTTTCTTGCAAACTGCATACGATGGAGCATCAATTGCCTCGTTTGCCACATAACGTGGCAAATTGTCCCCTCTTCCAGGATCGGGATGAATATTTTCTTCTTTGCGCGCCAAAATCAACGATGCACGATGGTACATACGTGCTAGAATACTGAAGGGAACCCGGATAATGCCAAAATCTTCCAGAGGCAAACTCAATGGTGACATTGTGTCCGCTTCATTTGTGTTTTCCGGGTCGATAGGAATTATGTCAACTGTCTTTACTGGGAGATTGTGAAATTTTTTGAGCGCCGCTTCTTGTTGCGCTCTCGTCTTCCTGTAAAAGACAGATTCCTTCATTCCCTCTTCCTCGTAATTTTTGTCCATTTTTAGCTCTCCGAGCCCAATAAATGCTAAATCCTCTTCTGTTCTCTGTCTTTTCACCACCGTCTGCAACAACCTGGCAAATTCAGGAATGGAAAGCTTCCTTTTCCTTGTAAGTTGTTTCTCTCTTTGTAGAACCGAGTTCATACATTCATTTCCGTTCTGATCGTATACACCTGGAGGCCAGCCTAGACCAGCCATGGATCTCAATTCAGCTGTCATCGTTTGCCTTATAATATCCGCTTTATACTTGCAAAAGTAAGTAACAAAGCGCTCTGAGAATGGGTGTAAGGAAAGCCACTCCTCTTTCATTTTTTCCAGATTGGTCACGAACTGGGCATGGCTTTCCGAGTCTATAAGACCAGGTACCCTCTTACAACCAATATCTCTTCCGAAGATGTCACTTAGAATGACTTCTGATGGTTTGCCCCGTATTCCAAGTTCGTTCATTTTTGACACTATGTTGTCTTTCATATGCAGGTCACAGAGTAAATGCTGGGCATAAGGGAGAGGTCTACCGAAACCCTCACCCAATGCCTTTTCTCCGTCAGTACCATATACTAGAACATTTTGGGTTTTTGCATTTAGCTTTATCATGGTAGACGAGAGCTCGTAATAGCTGGATGGTTCTTTTTTGTGGTGAACTAGGGTTGGTCCGATCCGGACTGGATTCTTGTCTTCTTTGGTTCGGAGAAGGAGATGCCTGTATGTAGTAAGAGTCACATAATAGTCTCCAAAATTGAAAGTAGGATCGACTCCTAAAATACTAAACTGGCTAGGATTTGTGCAAAATCTTTCCACGTCCTTAAGTTGCTGGTCAGTCGTTAGGACAACACAAGGATCTGACGAGGTCTCTACTTTACGGACGAAGGCATTCTCTTTGTCTCTGTTTCCTTGCTTCAGCATGTCTATCAGCTCGAGTGTAGAATCCCCAGGTTGCTCTTCCATGGTTTTTTTAATGTTCTTTATCTGTTGTACATTTCTGGCATGGCTAGCTGCGTTTCTAAAGTCTGAAATTGTTCCCTTTTCTTCGATACTCTTGAAAAACACCGTCTTGGGAGGGTCAGATTTCGCGAGCTCTTTTAACCTCTCCATGGTAGTATGCGAAGTGCGGTAATACTCTTTGGAAAGACTTTTAGAATTACCATGTGGTTTAACTTTAACTTCGTGTTCATTATCATCAAAAACATATTGCAGAAGAGCAAAATCGTGAATCGTTCCGTTGGAATCTGAAAAAGGAGAAGATGAAATTAATAAAGGTTTTGATATTTGAATGCGCTTGGTAACCAGATGTTGTGCACTGGTGTGATATGCTGTATTGATTAAAACCCCCTTTTGCTGGTCAGATTTGTTACATTATGACTAATGAGGACGTAAATTTTTTTACGGTGAGGTTTTGAAGATGGACGTTTTTCACTCGAATATAGAAAAATTTTGTTCTGTTTTGTTTTTGTCAATAATTTTGTTTCCTATTTTTGGCCACACACCACTTTTCGGAGCACGCCATAGTTTACTTATTTCACTTGAGCAGTTTGACCCTTGGTTTGAATTGACTTTCTCTTTCTTCGGAAGTTTTTTTCATGATCCATGTTACAAATGTCTTACTAACCTCAGGGACCTCTCAAACTGACTAATGACCTCGCTATCGCTAGGTTAATACCGCTAGGCCTCCATTTGAGATTTTTCCATAAGGACCTCACTGTTATTTATTTGTTAAAAAAGTCTTACCAGTCAGATAAATGAAAATCCTTTGCAAATCGGGGGAGGATTCATTCCTGTAGAAGCTTCTCGTACATTTATAGACCTGTGCCTCATGATCATCATATTCTGATTGGGAAGCCTTACGAACTGGATTCCTCTTGGTGGAAGCACGGTAGTATTGCTGTTTCGTCCCAGTTGGATTCCATGCACCAAGGTCGTCAGCCAGAACATTTTTAAAGTGCTTTATGTGTGGGGCAGATATGTCCACCACAAAGACAGAATTTTTGGAGATAGCGGAAGGAACAGCACGTGCAATAAGTTCTCGAGGCGGATGGAAGAGGATATCTACCACTTTCTTGGAGGCCAAACCCTTACGCAATCCCCGTCGGTAGATGGGAACCATTGGGTCGTCGTTCAAGTAATCAGTTCCTTGTTCGTCTTCACTGCTATCGCTGGAGTCGTTCAACTGGTGTGTCAGCACTTTCTTATTTACCTTTTCAGCCACATCTCTATGGAAGACAGTAAACGAATTTCATAGGTTTCTCAAACGCCACAGCGGGAGAGCACGTTCAATGACTCCACTGTTATCACAGAAATTTTATGGTATATATATTTGAGTGACTCACTTTTCTGATGCAAAGACTGGTTTGAAAAGGCACTCATCGCTGTCGCTCGTCTCAATATCCACACACACCCTTGATAAGAAAAAAAAATAAGACTGATTTATTGTTAAGTATGATTGTTTGAATTGTATGAAATAATTTAAATAGTCCAGTAGAAAGTCGAGAGCAGTATTCTTGATTGTAACTTTTGTTAATTGAAAGTTCAGGTCGCATTGGCCACCGGAAAACTTGCTCGAGCAAACGACCGTCGAGTTTCGATTAATACAAGCACAAAAAAGCCCATTCTCTTGACAATAAAATATATTGTACGGAAATGTAAAGGAGGGCACCAATAATATTGGCAACCAGTGTTACCTTTTGACTGGCGAATCAATGAGCGTCAAGTCTACTTTCTCAACCACAGCGGTTTTCTCATCAGGTATTTTGCCTGTAGTCATCATGACTACACTGTTGTCATCATGCTAGAAGAGAATATGACGTCAAATTCAGGAAACAAGCACTAGCGGAGGACCCAACCAATTTTCTTTTTTGCAAGAGGCCTACTTCTCTATACGAGAAACAACCTAAAGGGAGAACTGAGGACTCCTCTTCACAATACATGTTGCGTTTTAGAAATCAAATCATTTTATATTACACGCCCGGGATTTTCTACCAATCAAATATTTTTCCAATTTAATTTAACTTCAAACCCCTCTGCTTCCAGATACCGAAAAATGTATTGTTAACAGATGAACTGAAGCGCGTGACCAGTATAGCAGTACAGGCTTAATTGAGGAAAAATTGGCCCATTGTAAGCCGTCGAATGCCAAAAGATTCAAACTTCAATTTTCAGGATTCAAAGTTCCAAATATTACCTGACAAAAATTTGATTTTTGTCGCCCGTGAAAATAGATCCTTCTCACGTGCTCTTATTTTCACGATCGTGATCGGAGCGCGAGATCTGGCAATCTACGCAAGCCTTGGTTTTCGGTTTAACAGTCCACTTAAACAATTCAAGTTCTGTCAAGTAAAATTTTGACAACGATAAGAACATTTTACCATTAAAACAATCCCCAAGAACAGGAGACTCAGCGGTTACTTCTGCATCACAACGAATAACATCGCAAATTGCTCATAACATTTCCTATATGGTTTGTGCCATTTCACTGAAAGGTTCGTGCCAACTTGCACTGGTTATTTTAAACGCAGCCCGAAAATACTTACCCGAACACGTTTGTCCTCCTTTTTGTAGTTGCAGCAGAATCCCGAAGTGGGTTCTTCATCGTCTGAACTATCCACCTACACAAGCAGACTACCTGTCATTTTTTAATGAACAAACTGAAAAAGGCATCCTTAGCCCAACAGATTGCCCTTCCCTGGATTTGCCCTTAAATAACATATCAAGCAGTAATGAGACAACAGTTACCTTTACGATTTCCCGTGATTTTTGAATGGCAATTAACATTGCCTCCTCCTCGTCCTCTGCCTGGTACTTCCTCCACCAACTGTTTGTCTTCTGTCCCCTTACCGCATCAGCGTACGATTTCGAAGAGGAATCCATATTTTCGAATCAAGCAAAAGAACTGCTTTACTTGTAATATGGGAAAGATGGGAAAGCGCAAATATCGATTTTATCTGTTTCGCAAACAAAGGAGTTAATCACCCACACCGGAAATAGCGACCAGGTATTCCTCGCGACTCCCCTGCGTTTGTTTTCCAATTTGCCCGGGCCGCTGCCAATCACTTCTTGTGTAAAAACCTACGTAACCCGCTAAGTGGAAGTACAGTGACTACTGTTGCTTACCGATGTTTTCCGTCGGCAAAACGTAGAAGTCAGTAAATGTGACCGATTCTGCCCGGAAAATTTTATTGTCTGCAGCTTGGATATGTCAGGAGAGTTTCATTGACAGCTGGATTAACTGCACCCCGTGTTGTGAAACCATAATTATAAAGACATCGCGCTTTCCTTCGCGTTTTTTGTCACATACTAAAGGGAAACGTGAGGTTACTGAAAGATGATTCATGCTAACCCGTCGGTATCACTTTGCACTGGCACAAGTCGACCTAAAAGGCACAACGCATACCTTATATCTTAGTAGAGGATCGAAAACAGGAATGGAATTGATGATATTTTCAATGACAATTATAGTCCAGTGTTTAAGTGCCAGTTTCGCATTCGCATGACAAAAGATTAAAGAAACGTTACGGCCCAGCGCAAAATTTTGACATACAAATAATCAGTCGAAAAGCCGCTCAAAATAATTTGTGATTCAATGAACAATCCATAAGTCAGTAGCAGTTACCAGTATATCAACTTCCCACCCCTCCCTGCGCAATAGTACTTCTTTCTCCACTAGTAGTAACAGTCTGCCTACCATCCCTCCCTGAGAACTGAGAGACTGCATCCCACCCATCCCTGAGAAATAATGTTTTGTCTCCCCCCCCATAAAAAAAATAGTCCATATTTTACCCTACGCCCATAGGCAGAGGGTAAAATATGGACTGGACCATTTTTTGGACCATTTTTTTACCTTTTCTTTTGGACCATTTTTTTTTTTGGGAGGAGGGGGGGAGGCTGACCATTAGCACTTAGGGGTCGGTGGGATGCAGTCTATCAGCATTCAGGGAGGGATGGTAGGAAGACTGTTGTTACTGAGGGAGGGGTGGAGGACGAACTATCAGTACGCAGAGAGGGGTGGGAGGTTTATGTATGAGTAACTACTACTAATTATGGAGTGTTCATTGAATCATACAAATTGTTTTGAGCGGTTTTTCCACCGATTATTACTATGTCAAAATTTTTGTGCTGGCTCATAGCGTTTATTTCATTCTTGTCATGCGAATGCGCAACTGGCACTTAAACACTGGACTATAATTGTTATTGAAAATATCGCCATCTTCCACTGTTAAGTCATGCGTGTGCCTGTTTGGTCGACTTGTGTCAGTGCTAAGTGATACTCGTGAATTATCTTTCAGTTGCCTCACGTTTCCCTTTTTGTATGTGACTATGGGCCTATGACAAAATTGTTAATATAGACAAATTTTCTGTCATTACCAACACTTTACAGGCGCGGATGGTTTGTCGTGATTCGACAATTTTTTGAGGCGGACAAATTTTTCAAGCGCACCGCCGACAACATTCGTCCCGGCAAAAGCTTGGGAAAATCTACTAAATAAACAAAACCGTGATAAACTTGTCTATCATATGTCGGAAACACTACCATTAGTGAATTTGACAACTTTTTGACAGCTTCAACATTTTTAGTGCGAATGCAACAGAGGAAACAAAAATTTGTCATGACAAAATTTGTCCTTTGATTTTGATGGGACATTTCTAAATTTGTCTGCTAGTGCGGATATATAGACCCAAAAAAAAGCGAAGCAAAAGCGCAATGTCTTTATAAATGGTTTCACAACATGAGGTGTAATCCAGCTGTCAATGAAACTCTCCTGACATATCCAAGCTACAGACAAAAAAATTTCCCAAATAGAACAGTACTTCTACGTTTTGCCGACGGAAAATATCGGTAAGCAACAGTAGTCACTGTACTTCTACTTAGCGGGTTACGTAGGTTTTTACGCAAGAAGTGATTGGCAGCGGCCCGGGCAAATTGGAAAATAAACGTACGGGAGTACGCGAGGAATGCCTGGTCGCTATTTCCGGTGTGGGTGATTAACTCCTTTGTTTGCGAAACAGATAAAATCGATATTTGCGCTTTCCCATCTTTCCCATTTTACAAGTTAAGCAGTGCTTTTGCTCGATACGAGAATATGGATTCCTCTTCGAAATCGTTTGCTGATTATTTTATATAGTAAAGGTATAGACGTTAAAATTGCAAGAGCGCTCGTGAATTCTCTATGCTGCTAAGTTAAGGGCTAAGGACCGGAAATTTCGTGATCTCGTCTGATAAGATGAATGACAAAAGGAAGATCGATAAATTTAGTTATTACATACTGTATACACGAAGGGAACCGTGAAGCAACTGATGGTACACATGTCGACTCAAAAGGCACAGGCACAACTCAACAGTAAAGGATCTTAAACGCGATATTTTCAATAGAAATCAAAGTCCAGTGTTCACGTGGCAGTTTCGCTTTCGCAGGACGACAAAAATGAAGAACATTCAAAAAGTCAGTCGAAAAACCGATGAAGATAATTTGTAGGATCGAGTAAAAGCTCCATTAACAAGTAGTGTTTACTCTTACATCCACCTCACCCCTCACTGCCTAGCAATAGTCCTTCTCTCACCCCTCCCTGAGTAATAACACTCTGCCTCCCACCCCTCCCTGAGTAATAAAACCCTGCCTCCCACCCCTCCCTCAGTACTAGTAGACTGCATCCCACCCCTCCCTGAGTACTAATGGTATGCTTCCCCCCTATAAAATGGTCCAAAAAATGGTCCAAAAAATAGTCCAAAAAATGGTCCAAAAAATAGTCCAAAAAATGGTCCAAAAAATGGTCCAAAAAAGGGTCCAGTCCATGTTTTACCCTATGCCGTTTGCGGTGACACCCGAACCTCTGAATGTGCACAACTCCCTTAAGCGATTATTAAATTCAGGTCCATGCCTAAAAAGGCCGAAATACAGATAAGTCAGCATTCAAAAATACTTTTCCGAAGCAGACACTATTTCTGACCTTGAAAATTCCTATTACGAATGTTTCCAATTTATTTATTAGTTTTTGCTAATCAATTCATCAAGTAGTCATAATGACAAGACAAAAAAACAAACAATAATATTCCACAGGTATTTTTAGATAAAGCAATTACATAACAGCCACATGTGAGTATTTCCAAATTTCCAAGTTAGTTTTTGTGTAGTGACTCACATCAGTTTATCTTTCCTCAAAAGAAGACTTTTTAGAGAATTCATACAGTAAACCACTAAAACAAAATCTTAACGTATTAGTGCGTGATATGTGTACGTGACTTTGCAAAAGTGACAGTGTTTATACGAAACATTTAAAGATGAATTATTTACTTACGTGGAAAATGATAGATAACACTTTAGCTTAGATGAGATTCCTTCTATTTAGAAAATGTTCAAACAAAGCCCTTTGGTAGTCTTATAAAGATGCATACAAAGTTTCTCTCACCGCAGTGTCGTTAACGCATTTGACTACGGATCAAAAATTTCAGGGACTCAGAGGGAAAACAAAGCAATAAGGTGAGAAGAAAGTTCTTCACTAATTAAACATTTCACCTTGAGCTAAATGAACTTCGGCTCAGAAAAATTTGATCTAAACTTATCCGACTGGAAAACTACGCAATAAAATTTAGACAGCCTTATCACGAAGTCTCGAACTTTCAATCTATACACAATAAAAGGCATTACAATTGGAAACAAAAAAAGGTTTGAAATGTGTCTAAAAAGATGTCCTTCCACAACTGAAGACATTGCGAAGACAGTATTCTTATTTCCAAGAAATAAAAAACTATTATCGAATAAATTTCACTGAACTCTCAATAATTGTATATATTTGCTCTAAGAAGTGTAAGAACGCTTTATGATTTTCAAAATCAGAGGTTTGTTTTAGATTTCTTTCAGGTTCAAGTCGTAAGGAAAAAAATGTTGGGTTTCTTGGCTCTCTCCCTCCTCACAGTGGCGTTTGCTAATGCAGGTATAGTTTCCAGAAAAAAGGCTTGATATTACCCCTCGTCTTTTTAGTGATCTCGGCCGCTCTTCGAACTCACGAAAATACACTCCAGATCTCTTTAGAAAGAAATTATGGACACTAAGGAGAGGCCTTAAAGTTTTTCAGGATTCCAAGAAAAACATAGCAGAAATATAATACCAAGGTAATATCACAGAACAGGTAATAAGAAACGTGGACTTTTAACGGACACATTCGTGATAAATTTTGACATGTTTAGTCTTTATCTCAGTTTCCCTGCTAGGAATTCAAAATTTTACTTACAATGCACGAGAATCATCGTTGTCTATTGTGGCCGAAATTCATCAATCAGAAAATGTAGTTTTTCTCCTAATTTAAACAAAGATGAAAAAAGATTAATCTTGGAAACGTTAACCGAGCCCCTTAGTAATGGTCTCTCTTTTTGTCACAGCGGAAAAGACAGTTTGCGAACATAGGCACATGACAATTGACTGCAGAGGGTTAGACATCAATATTCTGAGCGCATCCTATGGCCGCACCCAACAAGGTGTCTGTGGTCGCGGAAGAAGCACAAACTGTCATGCTGGTAGCTCCATGAGCGTCGTTAGATACGAATGTCAAGGACAGACGAGATGTACTCTGTACGCGAAGAACGAAGCGTTTGGTGACCCCTGTGTTGGAACCTTCAAATATCTAAAGGTGAGTTCAGCTCGAGGAAGGACAACTTAAGACTTAGATTATAAATATTCGCTCCAGTTCTTATGTTGCAAATAATAGCTAATATATTTTTCACATGTAAAATTCAATCGATATGGATCACTTCAATACTTGCTTCCAGAGATTAGTGTTGTTTTTTTTTTGCAACGGTGAAATTGTTTAGTTCATGGTAACTTTGATACGAGTGACCTAATTAGCCTGATCACTGATTGGTTACCAGCCAGCCAATCGCGACTCATCCACAAGCAGTTTCCGAATAATCGTTTAAGGACATTGATCTTTATCCAGATCTTTTACTAATATCAAACTCGTTCTGTTTCGGTAAAATTTGTAAAAATAAGATGTTCCTATTTCCATACACAGGTGAAGTACGAATGTGTGGAAAAAACTGTTCTTTGCGCTGAGAATAAGCTCGTTCGCATCTGCGAAGGACGGTCACAGCACATTTCGTGCCCCACCCCGAAGAAAATCGATATCATGTCGGCGAATTACGGTCGTTTAACTGGTCGGCATATCTGTTGGGGACCAGTTAAAACCACAAACTGTGGAGCTGCAGGGTCGATTGATAAAGTGAGGAGCAAGTGCCAGGGAAAGCGAAGCTGCTTTTTGCAGGCAACAAATGGCCAGTTTGGCGATCCTTGCCGTGGGACAAAGAAGTATTTGGAGGTGATTATGGTTCACTGTATTATTTTAGATATTATCAGTCCTCACCAAACAAAACTTTGATCTAAAAATTACCAGGGGCGTATCTTTTCATGGAAAGTGAGTGATTGATCAAGAAACACACTACCATGCCCTTAAATGCTGGACTGAACAGTTATGAACGACGGCAACATCACATTCCCCCCCCCTCCATTTTACACAAAGAAGTTTGCCAGAGATCACCATTTGAGTTAAAGGAACTGCAATCATGCATGAATTACATTGAACACAGATACAAACATCCTATTTAGCCCACGCTACTTAACTAACGTGGGTTCCTTCCAATGTTGAATATTACTTAAATACCAATTTCTAGTACCTGAAATTTTTTTGCCAACTTTGCGCATTACAGGGGGTGGGACGAAATTCACGACTGGCAAAATTCCAACCGTGGTAACCAAGGTTGTAACTCATTCAGTGTGCGGAAAATTTCATTATGATTAATTGGTCTTCAAAAAACCTTCACAAGGCAAGACTAACTACTGTACAACGACCTTGAACTTAAGCAAAAAGCTAAACAGACTAAAGCATGAACAAACCTGGAGGACATATAAAAGAAACTAACTTGCAATTAATCGTATCGTTTCACAGATCAGATACAGATGTGACTGGTAAAGGATTCCACTGAGTATTCCAAGCGTCAACCCCTGAAAACAAGTGATTCCATGTAGTTTGTGTAGTTTATGTATCAGGGACCATTAAAAATAACTTTCGACGCCATTGAATGTCTCCATGTATTCGTTTCTTTGTGGAAGTATTGATAGCGTTCCAGCGGGCCCCCGTTATTAGTGTTTTACATGCCCGCCGATTTGGGACGAGTTGGGGAGAGGTTTACTGGGGATCTGGCACTAACAATTTCCTCAATACTAGTGCCAGACCCCTCAAGGCCCTTGCAGACCTCTCGCTCGCTTGTACTGTTCAAAGCATCACATTCCCTGGCGTGCACCGATGTGCCACTAATCCTTTAACCCCTAAGAGTGACTGACATCTAATTTCTCCTTACCATATCACTCCTGAATCAAAAAATGAGGTAAGGAGAATAAAGGAGCTGATCACCCACCAAAGAAGCTCTCTTAGACATCAAATATGCTCGTTCAAGGTCTCTTTTTAAAGCTCTGAAAATACTCTGTTTTAATAAATACAAATCAAACGTGAGAACATTGAGCGAAAAAACTTCAAGTCATAAAATGTTAGACATGGTTTGATGCTACTCTGGTTTACAGATTTAATGAATGTAACCGAAGAAGTTACAATTCATAGACCCAACGTTTCGACACTCCTGTTTAGTGCCTTCATCAGGGGTGATCTAAACGCTGCAACAAGAGGTCCTTTTAGACGATCACTAATTAGCTGCCTTTTTTTCTGACGAGGTGTAAACAGGCGTCAGGAAGCAAGCCGCCATCGTCACGATTTAAAGGAGCGTGGGCGGAGTTAATATGCCAACCAGCGCCTCCAAACAAAGGCGCTGGTGGTAACGCCGATTAGTGGTTATGATGAAAAAAAAATCCTTAACCACTAATCGAAGTTAGCAACAGCGCCTTTGTTTGGAGGCGCTGGTGGTAACGCCGATTAGTGGTTATGATTAGAAAAAAAAACAGAGTAGCATCAAACCATGTCTGATTGTCCACCTGGTTGCCGTGTGAACTTTAATATCTTTCGTAAAATGTTCTCGATTATTCTTTGGCGTTCATTGACACGTTAAAACAAAAAGGATACGCCTGTAGACGCAGCCGCTTGAGGCAGGTCTACGTGACCCTGAAGTAAATGCCGAAAGGAATAAATCGAGCCTTCTATGCACAAATTCCAGCGGTAACACCCATTTCTAAATGACACTCAAATCGACGTTAAGTTGTAATGAAGGTGAAAATGGGCCTTATAGTGAGCTACGGAATGTTTCACCGCGGTGCTTGTAGATATGGCTCACTTAATTATTACTAAAATTTACGTATCGAGCATTAATCAATCACACCCTCTGGCATCCATCTCCTATGGTTTGAATTTTTGAGCCGTATCGCCGGTTCAAAATCATCCGTGCAAACTAACAATAGGATTAGATGTTGCATGACGAGCAGTTTGAAAACAAAATTGAGTAAGTTTGTTGCTCAGGCATATCTTTTTCTCATCTTAGAAAATACACAGCTCAAGTTACTTCTTTTCCAGTTTCTTTTATTTTCTTTCCTGAGTTTGATTTATATTTTGTTTGCTTTTGCGTGACAGGGCGACGCAGATTGCAGAAAATTACTTCTTGACTATAAATAGATTCGACACCTTAAATAATAATAATAGTAGTAATAACATTAATGATAATAAACCAACAACGGCTTTATGACCGGATAAGTGTTTGTGTTCACCCTTTTCCAACATTTTAGAGTTACTTATATAATACAAGGTGACTGGTATACTCTGTTGTTACCGTGATCAGAATACTGGAATTTGCGAAGGCCTACAGGTTATCTACGACGAGTTACAATATCCAGTTACTAGTTTTGGTAAGCAAATTTATCGCAGATTACTTTATTAGCGCTGACGGCCATACAACGTCGTAGCCATTTTATGGCGAACGGTAGCTTATTTCAGTTAAAACTAAAGAAAAATCTGTACGGTTAACTTTTTTTATGACTAACAAACTTATTCGTATTTTTGGTGGTGACTTCATTTGAGTTTACTTTCTTTTAACCCGAAAGATGGGAGCCGATTTACGAGAAAGGTTTTTCTTGACTGTGAATAGTTTGAATGCAAATTAGAATTACGCTGACGAGAAAGTCCCTCCAAGGGTGTTTTCGTATTCATATTAATAACAATACAAGTATTTTTATTATTTCGCCTTTGTAGTCTGATTTGCAACATAGACACTGCACGTGTATTTCGCTGCTTTGTTGGGTTTTAGTGCAGCTTATTGTCTAGAATAGTTTTGTTCGCTTGATTGTTGATGTCATCAGTTGTAAGTCGTTCTTACAGCCGATTTTGGAAGATTGGCAGATTTTCGTGTGATTTCCTCATCACTGACTTTGTATATTTAAATTGAGAAAATTGGAGACAAATCATCATGAGACGTAATATGGTTTGTATAACCCACTGCTGGAAAGATCTGAAAGGCAAATGTCGCAATTGAGGGTTTAACTACTGCAATCCAAGAGGTTCAGTTCCTTGCTATCACTTGATTTGCGTTAAACCTCCTGTAATGGTGGACTTTGAGCTCAGTTCTTACGCGTAAATGTGCCCTAAAGGCCCATTTCCAACTTTGATGCAACGCAGTCGTTTACTTCCGTTTTGAACCACCGCTTTTGTTTAAATAGCGCCTCTGATTGGTCAGTTATTTTACCTTGCCACGTTGTCTCAAATAGCTTCTGCGTTTTCTCCGATTAGTTTGGTGAGCTTGTCAAAATAATTCTGTTTCATACAATACTACACGTTATAATCCGGTATGGAATCAGATGAATCCATTGATTTAGTAGATTCCAAGGTAATAAACACCAATGGGTCGGTTGCTGCCGAAGAGGAACACGAAAATCCTTGCGAGCATTTCGAGGAAGGTGAAAATGTTGATCCACCACGTTTTCATTCCAACATCAATTTTTTTTTTATTGAAGTTTGCCATCCTTGGGCCATCCTTAAGACCATAGGACCAAGGTTCAGTTGAAGTTTCCTGCCCGTGGAGAGGAGCTTGCGCTCGAAAGGGTGGTCGAGGTTGTTGTCCATGCAAAGCAGCAAATACGAATTGTAACGCAAACTGTCAGTGTCGCTGATGTTCCTGCAATGAAGTGACTAAACGTCCGGCAGCCAAACACGGTCTTAAAACAACTAAACGTCCGGCAGTCCGATATATTTCCATATTTCTCTTCGAAATCCAAAAAATGTCTATCCAAAAATGTTCTACCTTTATTTACAATCCTAAAGCGCTTCCAGGCAGCCAAAAGTTTCGAACTTGATGTTTTTCGCCAACCCAGTATACAGAGTACGAAGCCATCCAAGCGCTTGACACTTAGAAACTTTTCAATGACACGGCCGGACACGATCCTTAAATAACTCAATATTTCTCTTTGAAATATACCAATTTTCCTTGGGAAATATTCTACCTTTATTTAGAACCTCAAGCGCTTCTAGAAAGTGAAAAAATTGGAACGTTGTCCGTTTCGCCGACCTTGTACACAGAGTACAGAGAGATCCAAGCGTAATACTTGGAAAATTTTCTTCGGACACTACCGGACACGGTCTTCGAATAACTAAACGTCCGGCAGTCTGATATTTTTCCATATTTTCTTTTAAAAATACCAATTTCTATTGGAAAATATTTAACCTTTATTTAGAATCCTCAAGCGCCTCTAGAGAGTGAAAAAACTCGAACGTTGTCCGTTTCGCCGATCCTGTTTACAGAGTATGTAGAAATCCAAGCGTGTCACTTAAAAAAATTTCTCTTCGGACTTTACTGGATAAAAATTCAAAATACTGTAGGGAAACTGTAAAATGACGAACGGTTAATGTATTTACCATAAAACAATTGACTATATGTACAGGATAGCTCTTGAGAAAGACGATTTTAGAACCGGGTTTTCAGTAATCTTGGAATTTCGAGTCACAGGAAATTGGTTCGCGGCGCGCGTTGCATCAAGGGTGAAAATGGGCCTTTAAGTAGTCATAACGACAAGTAAAAAAAACAAACAATAATATTCCACAGGTATTTTTAGATAAAGCAATTACATAACAGCCACATGTGAGTATTTCTAAATTTCCAAGTTAGTTTTTATGTAGTGACTCACATCAGTTTTTCTTTCCTCAAAAAGAGACCCTTTAGAGAACTGATACAGTAAACCACCAAAACAAAAAATCTTATCGTATTAGTGTGTGATATTTGTACGTGACTTTACAAAAGGGACAGTGTTTATACGAAACATTCAAAATGAATTATTTACTTACGTGGAAAATGTTAAATAACATCTAAGCTTAGATGAGATTCCTTATATTTAGAAAATGTTCAAACAAAGCCCTTTGGTAGTCTTCTAAAGATGCACACATAGTTTCTCTCACCACAGTGTCGTTGACGCATTAGACAACAGATCAGAAATTTCAGGGACTTAGAGAGACTGTTTGAAAACAAAGCAATTAGGTGAGAAGGAAATTTTTCTCCAATTGAATATTTCATCATGAGCTAAGCGAGCTTCGGCTCAAAAAAACTTGATCTAAGCTTATCCGACTGGAAAACTACGCAATAAAATTTAAACGACCTCATTAAGTCTCGAACTTTCAATCTATAAGATACAATAAGAGGCGTTACATGCGGAAACAAAAAAAGGCTGGAATGTGTCTAAAAAAAAATATCCTTCCACAACTGAAGACATTTTAACTGTTGATTACGAAGAAAATATTCTTATTTCTAAGAAATCAAAAATTATTATCTCATTAATTTCACTGAACTCGCAATAATTGTATATATTTGCTCTAAGAAGTCTAAGAACGCTTCATGATTTTCAAAATCAAAGGTTTGTTTCAGATTTCTTTCAGGTTCAAGTCGAAAGGAAAGATGTTGGGTTTTTTAACTCTCTCCCTCCTTACAGTGGCGTTTGCCAATCCAGGTATAGTTTCCAGTAAAAAAAGGCTTGATATTACCCCTCGTTTTTTTGGTTAAGTAAACTGAAATATCCTGATCTCGGTTATTCTTCGAACTCACCAAAATCACACTCCAGATCTCTTTAGAAAGAAGTTATGGACAAGAAGGAGAGGCTTAGAAATTTTCAGGATTCCAAAAAAATCATAGCCGTGATATAATACCAAGATAATATCACAGAACAGGTAATAAGAAACGTGGACGGGCTCGACTTAAGAGAAGCAACTTTTAACGGACACATTCGCAGTAAATTTTGACATGTTTAGTCTTTATCTCAGTTTCCCGGCTAGGAATTCAAAATTTCACTTACAAAGCACAAGAATCATCGTTGTATATTGTGGCCGTAATTTATCAATCAGAAAATGTAGTTTTTCTCCTAATTTAAACAAAGATGAAAAAAGATCAATCTCTCGGACACATTAACCGAGCCCCTACGTGATGCTCTCTCTTTTGTCACAGCGGAAAAGACAGTTTGCGAACATAAGCACATGACAATTGACTGCGGAGGGTTAGACATCAATGTTTTGAGCGCATCCTATGGCCGCACCCAACAAGATGTCTGTGGTCGAGGGGGAAGCACAAACTGTCATGCTGATAGCTCCATGAGCGTCGCTAGAAACGAATGTCAAGGACAGACAAGGTGTACTTTGGACGCGAAGAACGAAGCGTTTGGAGACCCCTGTGTTGGAACCTTCAAACATCTAACGGTGAGTTCACCTTGAAGAAGGACAACTTAAGACTTAGATTATAAATATTCGCTCCAGTTCTTATGTTGCAAGTAATAGCCAATATAATTTTCACAAGTGAAATTCAAACGATATGAATCACTTCAATAATTGCTTCCAGAGATTAATGTTATTTCCTTTTTGCGACTGTGAAATTGTTTAGTTCATGGTACTTTGATACAAGTGACCTAATTAGCCTGATCACTGATTGGTTACCAGCCAGCCAATCGCGACTCAACCACGGGCAGTTTCCGAATAATCGTTTAAGGACATTGATCTTTATCCAGATCTTTTTACTAAAATCAAACTCGTTCTATTCTGGTAAAATTTGTAAAAATAACATGTTCCTATTTCAACACATAGGTGAAGTACGAATGTGTGGAAAAAACTGTTCTCGTTCGCATCTGCGAAGGAAGGTCACAGCTGATTTCGTGCCCCGCTCCGAAGAAAATCGACATCACGTCGGCGAACTACGGTCGTTTAACTGGTCCGCATCTCTGTCCGGGACCAGTTAAAACCACAAACTGTGGAGCCGCAGGGTCGATTGATATAGTGAGGAGCAAGTGCCAGGAAAAGCAAAGCTGCTTTTTGCAGGCAACAAACGGCCAGTTCGGCGATCCTTGTGTTGGGACAAAGAAGTATTTGGAGGTGATTATGGGTCAGATCTTTTACAAAAATCAAACTCGTTCTGTTTCGGTGAAATTTGTAAATTTAACATGTTCCTATTTCAATACACAGGTGAAGTACGAATGTGTAGAAAAAACTGTTCTCGTTCGTATCTGCGAAGGAAGGTCACAGCAGATTTCGTGCCCCGCTTCGAAGAAAATCGATATCACGTCGGCGAACTACGGTCGTTTAACTGGTCCGCATCTCTGTCCGGGACCAGTTAAAACCACAAACTGTGGAGCTGCAGGGTCGATTGATATAGTGAGGAGCAAGTGCCAGGAAAAGCAAAGCTGCTTTTTGCAGGCAACAAACGGCCAGTTCGGCGATCCTTGCGTTGGGACAAAGAAGTATTTGGAGGTGATTATGGGTCAGATCTTTTACAAAAATCAAACTCGTTCTGTTTCGGTGAAATTTGTAAATTTAACATGTTCCTATTTCAATACACAGGTGAAGTACGAATGTGTAGAAAAAACTGTTCTCGTTCGTATCTGCGAAGGAAGGTCACAGCAGATTTCGTGCCCCGCTTCGAAGAAAATCGATATCACGTCGGCGAACTACGGTCGTTTAACTGGTCCGCATCTCTGTCCGGGACCAGTTAAAACCACAAACTGTGGAGCTGCAGGGTCGATTGATATAGTGAGGAGCAAGTGCCAGGAAAAGCAAAGCTGCTTTTTGCAGGCAACAAACGGCCAGTTTGGCGATCCTTGCGTTGGGACAAAGAAGTATTTGGAGGTGATTATGGGTCAGATCTTTTACAAAAATCAAACTCGTTCTGTTTCGGTGAAATTTGTAAATTTAACATGTTCCTATTTCAATACACAGGTGAAGTACGAATGTGTAGAAAAAACTGTTCTCGTTCGTATCTGCGAAGGAAGGTCACAGCAGATTTCGTGCCCTGCTCCGAAGGAAATCGATATCATGTCGGCGAACTACGGTCGTTTAACTGGTCGGCATCTTTGTCCGGGACCAGTTAAAACCACAAACTGTGGAGCCGCAGGGTCGATTGATATAGTGAGGAACAAGTGCCAGGGAAAGCAAAGCTGCTTTTTGCAGGCAACAAACGGCCAGTTTGGCGATCCTTGCGTTGGGACAAGGAAGTATTTGGAGGTGATTATGGTTTAGATCTTTTACCAAAACAAACTTGTTCTGTTTCGGTAGAATTTGCAAAAATGATATGTCCCTATTTCAATACATAGGTGAAGTACGAATGTGTGGAAAAAACTGTACTCGTGCACATCTGCGAAGGAAGGTCACAGCATATTTCGTGCCCCGCTCCGAAGAAAATTGATATCAGGTCGGCGAACTACGGTCGTTTAACTGGTCGGCATCTTTGTCCGGGACCAGTTAAAACCACAAACTGTGGAGCCGCAGGGTCGATTGATATAGCGAGGAACAAGTGCCAGGGAAAGCAAAGCTGCTTTTTGCAGGCAACAAACGGCCAGTTTGGCGATCCTTGCGTTGGGACAAGGAAGTATTTGGAGGTGATTATGGTTCACTGTGTTATTTTAGATATTATCAGTCCTCACCAAACAAAACTTTGATCTAAAAATTACCAGGGGCGTATCTTTTCATGGAAAGTGAATGATTGATCAAAAACACACTAGCATGCCCTTAAATGCTAGACTGGACAGTTTTGAACGACGACAACATCACATTCCCCCCCCCCCCCCTCTCCATTTTACACCATGAAAATTGCCAGAGATCACCATTTGAATTAAAGAAACTACAATGTTGGGTGAATTGTATCGAACACTGATACAAACATCCTATTTAGACTTCCAACCTACTTAACTGGCGTGGGTTCTTCTATTCTCCTTTCAATGATGGATTTTACTAAAATACGAACTCTTGGTACCTGAAGCTGATTTGTCAAATTTACGCTTTGCAGGGGGTGGGACGAAATTCACGACAGGCAAAATTCCCAACCGTGGTAACCAAGGTTGTAACTCACTCATTGTGAGGAAAATTTCATTATGATCAATTGGTCTTCAAAAAACCTACACAAGGCGAGACTTACAATTGCACAACAACCTTGAACTTAAGCAAAAAGCTAAACAGACTAAAGCATGAACAAACCTGGAGGACATATAAAAGAAATTAACTTGCAATTAATCGTATCATTTCACAGATCAAATACAGATGTGACTGGTAAAGGATTCCACTGAGTATTCCAAGCGTCAACCACTGAAAACAAGTGATCCCATGTAGTTTTTGTAGTTTACGTATCAGGGACCATTAAAAATAATTTTCGACGCCAATGAATGTCTCCGTGTATTCGTTTCTTTGTGGAAGTATTGATAGCGTTCCAGCGGGCCCTCATTTTCGGTGTTTTACATGCCCGCCGATTTGAGACGAGTTGGGGAGAGGTTTACTGGGGATCTGGCACTAACAATTTCCTCATTACTAGTGCCACCTCTCTCGCTCGCTTGTACTGTTCAAAGCCTCACATTCATTGGCGTGCACCGATGTGCCACTAATCCTTTAACCCCTAAGAGTGTCTCGCATCTAATTTCTCCTTACCATATCACTCCTGAATCAAAAAATTGAGGTCAGGAGAATAAAGGAGCTGATCACCCACCAAAGAAGCTCTTGATTGTTAGACAAATTCTCCATGTCGGCATCTCAGGAAATGCTTAGAGAACAGTGTGGAGAATATGCATAGTAAAGGATTAATTAGGGCCTGCTCGCAAGTTAAAGTGTTAAATTTTGTTAAGATTATTCCAGCAGGAATCCTGGCAAAATCCCATCTGGCTCCAGGGAGGAATCCTGCGCAATGCGTGATACAGTTGTTTAAGTGTAGGTCAGTAATGGCTCCCGTGTAGTACCTAAAAGTCAGAGAGGGCGAAACTTCGAGGCGGGGTTCAGATCTAAGTTGAGGGTATATTTACACTCTGTTAAAACTTTCGGGTTTTTTTTAAGCATTGGTGGATGTTAAATGAAAATTTCAAAACTTTGTTAGAAAAGTGTTTTTGACTGAATAATACCCACTAGTAAACAACAAACTATCGCTTTCTTTATTTTTGCTCCCACTTCCCGCCCTCTCTCGCCCCCTGTTCTCCCGAGCTCCCGCCCCCTGTCCTCCCGAGCTCTCGCCCCCCTGTCCCCCTCCACTATCTCAGTGTTACTAGGTACCTTTTCAGGAACGCTAAGTTTCCTATCAGTATCCTGATAAGATCCTTATGAGAATCCCACGTTGATGCCGGGGAGATTCCAGTAGGATCCCAGAGGGCTGCAAAGAATTTTTGTATGGGTGTACCTTTTCAGAAACGTTAAGTTTTCTGTCAGTATTCTGGTAGAGGTTGCGTGACGCGTGATGGCCCCAAAATTTGCGAGATAACTAATGAGCCATATATGAGATCAAACTACGAAAAAATTGTCAAAACTACTACTACTGACTTATTAAACAATAAACTATGATGACTATGATGCCAGGACGAACACCTCAGGTGTTAAATCTGTGTACGATACTAGTAAAGTACGATTTGATATTGCGATACGAAGCCTAAGTAAACGCTCTCAGGGCGTCTAGTTTCAACAAGTAAGTCGTCTTTATTTTTCTGGCATAAAGCAATATGACAAGTGATACGCAATTCATTCCAGGATAAGAAAGGTTAGATGCAATATAATTTTTAATCATACATCCGATAGGTTGAAATCTTACAGTATTAGCTTGGCGGACTTACTCCTTTTTACGTGACGTGTGATTGGTTAAAAAAAATTTCCGTGATGCGTGATTTAGTAGAAAAATTCAGCGTGATGTGTGACTGGAACCCCCTCTTTGTCACCCTCCAGGTAAGATCCTTATGAGGATCCCACAGTGATGCCGTGAGGATTCCGGCAGGATCCCAGCGGGTTGCAAAGAGCTTTCGAACGGGGTACCTTTTCAGAGACCCTAAGTCTACGTCACTTTGGACAGTTTCATTTAACACAGACAGACTACCATCTACCACTTTAGTAGTATCCGGTGGGCGTTTATTCGCAGTTTACTCACGTAACTACAAAATTAATGCACATATATGGAAAAACACACGCAACCCCGACTGACACTTGTAGGAAATTTTTTCCTTTTCAAAGTCATAATTAATTTCATAGGGAGGTAGTTTCTCGCTTCAAGATCATAATCATGACGCGGCCTGCTAAAAAAAATCGCATTAGTGAAAAGAAACACAATTTTGGAGTCGTCTTTCTTGGGCGGGAATTACTTAATTTTCTTACTAGGACAACTGTCGAATATTTTGCCAATATTTTCGGAGGCTTTTAGGCGGTAGCTCTCCCATTTGAGTTCCGAAAAAAATAGTAAAATGATGATGATGTTAAACACCATTTAATTTCTCGTCAGACCGCACAACATCCCTCCAGGAAAACAAGTCTTGAAGACATCTTTCAATACTGTGAGATATAGGGCAAGGACGACACCGCACCGGAAAATCGGTGTTCATGAACTCTCAGAAAGCTTTCGTTGGGTTCGGCTTTAGCTGAGCGGGTCTGTACTTTAAAACAAAAATGCGTTCAGGTGTGAGATTTAAAGTTAAGATTTCAAATTACGCGACTTTGAGATAAAGGTTTAATTTGATTAAATCTATCTCTGCAAAGTGAAGATAAGCGCATGTCGGTCCGATATCTAAAATTTGGTTTTATAATTATGTCACGTTTCATCCGTCTTACATCACAGTTCACTTCAATCGCTTGACAGGGTCAGGCTAAACATCTCTTTTGTCGTATCAGGTATACTTCTCATTTGCGGCAAGATATCATAGCCGTTCTGCGGAGGGCACCTTATTATGTAGTAGGTAATAAGGTGTCATAATTCTCACTATATCATGAAGACAAATGCTTATCAAACACACATCCTGTTATCGCTCCTACTTCGGGGAGTTCACGCGATTTACGCGGGTTTCGCGGCGCCATTTTTCTTGTATTTTAAATTTCGAGTTATCGAGAGGTTCCGGAATTTGTTTACATTCTATTCGCCTTGTTTATTCTGATATTCTCTTTAAGGCTTCGCTTGGGAAAAATTACGCCACTCTTAGTACAGAGCAGAGGCGACATTATTCCTTGTGTAAAAGTCGCACAAAAGTCGGAATGCGCAAAACATTGAGGAAGGGGGAGGCACTCATTTGATTTGTGGGGTATATCCTCCCTAGTCAAACTGTGAATTTCCGTTAAGTTATTTGAAGCAGTTGAGGGAACTTTCAGAAAATTTCAATGATTCTTGAGAAAATCAAGACATACCGAAACAACTAGCCAGTGAAATAAAAATATTCACGACTTGCGTCTTAAAACCTAAAAATCTGTCTACCCCTCTAAGATATTTTAAATAACTTCCCTACCACCTACGGGCATGTTATAGGCATTACTCAAGTTTGTTTTTGTGATCAGTCAAAATCAATCATCAGCACTGTGTGCGTAACTACTCATTATCGTGAAGCGTCGCGACCGCCTGTTCGCCACACAACGTTACTTGAAGCCTCGAATCTTCAGCATAAGACGTGAAAGAAGGAGAGAGAGAGAGAGAGATCGTTCCGATGTTGCCCAAAAAGTTTTCTATAGTGGTAGATTTAGGATGTTTTCTGATTGTAAGTATAGTAAATGCCTTTTTGGCACTCATTACCCCTCCATTCAGACGTGGGTTTTTTTGCAATGATGACAGCATTAAATACCCGTTCGTCAATGAGGAACTTCTTCCCACTTGGACGTTGCTGTTAGTTTCAGTTATTCTACCGGTTTTTACGGTAAGTGTTTCTATTTCAATGTCATTTTACTAAAACAGTGTTGAAATATGTTGTTAGTTATGCTAAGAACACCTTTAAACAATAAACAACGCACTCGATTATTCCATTGATATTAATGTCCGCTTATTGTCGAATTAACTCGTGAATTAGCGCATTCCGTGACGAATATTGCTTAAGTTATAAGCATCGAGGCCATTAGGAGTCACAAAAGCTTCTTTTCACGTTGTAAGCTAAGATTTAAAAGCAATATTAGAGACGAAAAACAATAAAGGATTAAATAAGATGCCGTATTAAAGAGCCCGGCGCTTCCTGTGGTAACTCAAAGGGTCTAAAAACATCTCACGTTTACCATTTTTGGGTTTCCAACTGTTTGAACTATTTCAATCCACAAGTTAAGTAGTGGTTAAAATAAGACTATCGTTTTCACGATTTGAAGTTAGAGAGTTATTGAATCGCAAAATAAGAATGAAAATTTAGCTAACAAACCGATTATTGACTGAAGGGAACAACAACACTAGCGCATGAGGAAGTTTCTTTTGAATATGTTGCCTTGAATTCAAAGATTTCTGAAGGATTGTTTCTCTCGTTGATAAGCTTCTATCATGACCGTAAATTGATTTCTTGAAGAAATTTCTCACGGATTATCGAGAAATGAACCCGAAACATACTAGTGAGCAATGGCTGACGTCAGACACGCTGTGAGGGAAAGGGGAGGGGGTCTGAGGGGAGTGGCATTGGGAGAAGTGAAATTTGATTCCCTATTCTTCTCTCCTGTGGGAAAAGTCTCTGGGAAAAAGTACAGATATCATTTGATCTGGGTTGGACGAGTTCAGATGAGTACTTCCCTCGTGTCAGCTGATATACATTTTGTTGTAAATTTGGGAATTTGATGTTTCATAACTTTTCTATTCTTGCCATGGTTGCTGAGAAGTTACACGTCAGTTACTTCTGACATCTTAACATTAACAGCTTATTTAGGATTTCGTTTTAGTTTTTCTGTCTTGTATGCAATGTAGACCTTTTCCCACAGAAAATACTTGACACACCTTTTTCCTATTTTTTTGGTTTACATTTTCTGATAAGAATTATTTAGCTTTACCAAAATATGACCTTGGCTTCAGGATATTGAAAAAAAAATTGAAACACTATGAAACACTCCTCTTCAGCCAAACTGGTCCAATATTTGATCATTTTGAAGGATTAATACTTCACTGTCATGGATCATGTAAATTATATCTTCTAGATGTATTCAATCTTAATTTATCACTGCTGTAGTTATTTTAATGTTGCCACTGTCAGTAAATCCATCAAAAATCAAAATAGCTAGGGAAAATTGCCAGCTCTCATCACAGTTTATTGCAGTCGAATAATATCAGATCATTAACAGTCATAGCTAAAATTGTATTTTTTTTTAACTGAATTAGATCATCATTTGTGAAGTTGGAAGGCAATACCAAAGTGGTCAAAATACCAAAAGAGAACAATATCAGAACAGTGAAAACAGCGCTGTCTGCGGGTCATGCATGAAAAAGCCGTTATTCCAGAGGTAACACAAATACAAAGATTTTATTATGGTAACAGCACTAGGTGGAGACATATTCAGTCTGTGATCATACAAGTGATCGATGCAACCAGACGACTGCTAGGCAGTAGTTAGATTTGTTAATCTTGTTATATCATTGCAAATAGAATCGGAAGACACAAAGTCCTGCAACCAAATTAGAGATGAAGTGTCTATTGATTTTCTCTTTAAGACTACAAAGCAACTGGCTTCTAGTTTCTCCTTACAATATCACCCTTAAATCAAACAGAAAGGTTATCAGAATAAAGGAAATGATCACCACTTTAAGAAGCTCCAGATTGTCAAACAAATTCTCCTTGTCAGTACCAAGGGAATATAGAGAAGACAGTGTGGAGAACATGACTATCAATGTTAGAGTGTTGAGCATATTCAGAAGTAAAAAAACATCAGTGGTGACTTTTTTTCCACAAGAAAATGCTCTAACAATGCACCCAATTTCAAGCATGACACACATGCTGTGTTATTAAAGCGAATTGAGCTGCTTATAACTAATTGCATTTAAGAATTTCATTATAATTTTATTTAACCGTTTTATAAGTAAAACATATCAGAATGTGATGATAAATCATAGCCATAAGACCCACCAATCGGATTAATTTCTCCCAATTCTTTTCAGGTTATTTAAAACAATGTCTTTATTCTTATACGGCTCACTAATTAATCTGCTCATCACTCTGCTTGGGAAGACATACGTTGGTGAATTAAGACCCCATTTCCTGGCGTTGTGTAAACCAAACATGAGTCTAATTGACTGTAACCAGGGATACATTACAAACTATGAATGTACTGGCAGTAACCTTGATGCAATTGAAAAAGCCAGGTAAGAAACAGTGTTTAAAATATGTAATGTGAAATTAGGGAGATAAGTCCAGAAATGTATGCAGTAACAAAACTGGAAAAAATGCATCAAAACTGTAAAATCCGCCAAGCTGACTTGGCTTTGATGAATTTGATTAAAATTCAACACAATTGTCAATTCCACCAAACTGATTTTCCTTTGAGGAATTTAACTAAAATTTGCCAAAATTGTCAAATCCATGAACTTTCTCTTGGTTTGATGAAATTTTGCCAAATCTGCCATTTTCCCTACTGCATGTAATTCTGGACTTAGGTGAAATTAGGATCTGTCAAAACAAATTTAGAAATATTTTACTCATTGTATTAAGATATCATTATAACAAATCATAAATAAACGTTAATTAGTATTTATCATCAAATGCAGTGCAACCCAATGAGTCTCCATTTTTGGTGTTTGTTTCCCTAACCCTTAAACTCTCATGAGTGAGAGAGAAAGAATTTCTCCTTACAATATTAATACAAAATCAAGCAGACAAGAGATGAGAATTAAGAAAATTTTCAATTAAGGGATTACCAGTTGATGCAATACCAAATTCTCAGTATTAAGATCATAAAAATGTTATAGCAGACAGTAAGGAGAATTACTAATGAGATCTTTAGAGCGAAAGAGTTGATAAACAAAACAGGATTTGACATGGTTATAAACAATCATAAAACTTATAACCCATACTTGGGTATGTTCATTGCTAAAATGGATATCCATGGTGGTAAAAAATTTACATAAAAAATCTGCTGTACATGTGAACTAAATAACATTTTCTTTTAGGAGATCATTTCCCTCAGCTCATGCATCTCTCTCTATGTATGGCATGCTCTTCTTAGCAGTAAGTAACCAGTTTTGCTTTCAATGTACCTATGTACCTATAGTTATAGTTATCATCTAATATTTAATGAATGAATGTGTGGAAGCCAATGATGTCAATGTTACCAAAAAGAATATGGAACCCTAGTGAGTTCAGACTGCCACAGTATAAAAATGATATCCTTATGTCTGTGAATTAACCACTTAATGATAGTACCATTTTTAGCCATTTTTAGTTCAAACATTTATGATGAGGATATGAAAAAAGAAATTGCCAAAGAAAAAGCAAAATAAAGTTCAACTGAGTTCATTGTTATCTAATATCACATAAATAACAGTGACAAGATTTACTCCACAGTCTTTAAATTCAACTTTGAATGCGAGTCGTAATGTCACTGAGTGTTTTTTTTCTTGCAGGTGTATTTTGAATCACTCATAAGGGAAGGAGGTTCTTTCCTAAAGCCTTTCATTCAGTCAGGTTGTTTCATGGTATCACTACTGTTTGGACTGTCCAGGGTGAGAGACCACATGCATCACTGGCATGATGTTTTTGCTGGGTTCTTGTTGGGTGGATTTTTCGCTGTATACATGGTGAGTCACCTCCACACACCCCATCCTGAGTCACATTCACCCACCCCACCCCGGAGTGGAAGCAAATGTCAATTCCCTCACAGCTATCATTTAGCTCACACTCTAAATGATGATCATAGAAAATGTCTGGAAATAGACGGCATCTCTCTATGGTGTTAGGTTAACGCTTCACATCCTAACATTTGTATGAATATTCTCCATACTGTTCTCTATACATTTCCTGAAGCGCTGATAAGGAGAATTTGTTTAAAAATCAAGAGCTTTATAAGTTGGTGATCATTTCCTTGATTCTTGTGACCTTAATGTTTGATTCAGGGCCGATACTGTAAGGAGAAATTAGAAGCTGGTCACTCTTAAGGGTTAAGGGGTTAACGCTTTGACCCCTAAGAATGATTAGCATCTAAATTCTCCCTACAAAATCCCCCCTAAATCAAACATTAAGTTCATGAGAATAAAGTAAATGATCAAAAACTAAAGATGCTCTTAATTGTTAAACAAATTCTCCATGACAGCACCTCAAGAAATGTGTAGTGAACAGTATGGAGAATATGCATACTGATGTTTCTGAGTAAAGGGTAAACCAGAAGTGGTAAAATGTCTCTTATCTTGCTTTCCAGTGTGTGAACTTAGGTGTTACTATAAATGTTCAGCTTATAATGTTACCTAATAAGACTCCAGTCACCCAGACCCACCCAGTAACAGTTATGTTTTTAAGTCTTTTTTTCTTGGGGGGATTGAGGATTACTGTTACAATTTGGCAACTTTAAAGTTGTAATATTATTGTCTTTAATAAGGAAAACAAAAAAATAGTTTAAAAGTACAAAATATCGAAATTAAAGAAATCCAGTCTTCATATCAATTTGCTTCACTTTTAACCTAGAAACATTTTGTTTTCCTTTGTCTTTCTATTCCATGAACAGGGCATTAAAGTCCTGAAGCTCCTTGAGGAAAGTCATCAAACACCAAAAACAGGCAATATGCATTGTGAAACCCCGAAGAGCTCAATGGGCAACAGTGAATTCTATCTGCATTCCCCTGACAAACTAATACCAACCACTCCACAGTTTCCAGTTGCTATATAAGCTTGGTAGATCCCTCATGTAAGGGGTGTATTTTGAAGAATTTCCCTTTGCAGCTGTAATTTTTAGTCATGAAAAACTTTACACTGGCCATGACAAAGAATTAACATTTGGGAAAGTGTCAGAGAGGGAGGTATTTCTTAAAGAATGCAAACTGAAGGGTTTGCACAAAGAAATATAGAAGTAGCAAAAAAGTGTTAAGTAACAGGAGAGAACTAAGGTCATCAAAGTTTGGTTGAATAGTTCTGCATTGTAGGTGGAGAATTCTCCTATATCCAATACCTAATCAACATCTTGAAACTATAGTAAAATATTTTTATATAAAATAATTAACCAGTGATTACCATAAGTTCCAATATCAACACATCATTAAATATTTGAGTTCAATTCTGTAACGATAGGGGTTAAGATAAATTAACAACTTGCGTTGACAGTAGCACAAAGTTATTTTTGTCTGAAATCTCAACTATTATAGAGAAGATTAATTTCAATTCAGAATAATTGACAAAAAGCAACAATTCCGTTGGCAAATATGTATCATTCTCAAAGATGTATTAAAGTATTGAGAATATGGAAACTGATGCTATAGAGTACAGGGTTTAAAGTTGGATGAAGCCATAGAAGAGGAGGAAGTGGTAGAGGAACCACTTTATGTTGGGAGCAAGATTCTCAAATGGCATTGACAACTATTTAGCTAACATATGTATTGACAAATAACATTTCATAGCACTGAGTGCTATTCAATATATTTTTTCATATAAAAAAAGATGCTTAATTTTTATAAGCTACATTTGGAATTGCTGTATGAATACTATGTATAGTGCAGTTATTCATTTGTCAACTGACAGTAAATAATCTTTAAATAAAAAAAAAGCTTATCTTTGGAGTGGTTCGCACAATTTCTTGTGATGATACTCTGGGTATCACTTCATTATCTCAGTTTTGTGTCTTGTCTTTTTTCTCCTTTAAGATTTTTTCCCACGCTTTTGCTAAGCCTTCAGTCGTGTTTGGAGGTTTCTATACAAAAATGAGAAGCAAACTGTCATTTAACCATCCTGCAGGCAATTCTGCCATCAAAGACATCAAAATTGGAGCCCTGTTTAAACTTACTGGTACAGAGTGTACAATAAATAACAAAGTCTTACATTGCACTCTTCATCTGGTGGGTAAAGTTCTTTCTGTGAAAAAATATCAGCAGAAATATGGATCAGCAAGAAATTTGAAATATGTTGTATATGCACTGCTGTATTATAATTATTGCTGGAATTAATGCTGAAAATGGCTTAGAGAAGGACAATTAAAGTCAAAAAGTCAAAGTGTTTGTTCTATTCATTAGTCCAATGAACACAAAAGCCTGATTCAGATGGTCATGGTAGTTGATGATAGTTTCAATATCCATTCACTATTACTGACTAATATATAGATTTAACCAAGCCTAAAAGCGGAACTCGCATTTTTTCCCGCACGTCTCAAGGGCACAATGCCTTGCCCTGGCCAGGACTAGAACCCGGGTCGTCCGACTCGGAGCCCAGTGCACTGACCACTGGATTACTGGACAAAGCCGTGGTGTTGGCCACTCATGTAGCACCTTGTATGGTCATATGGTTGTATGGTGGTACATCCAAATTTTTTCGGCTTGATGGGTTACTACTATTTTGTATAATTATGGGGCTATGCTCTGTGAGCTCCGCTATCATATTTGAGCTCAAATGGTTCATGATGTTTGATGATCATGTGATGGGATTGCTTACTTGTAAACAAATATGGCATGTCCTGAGGTCCACAATTTCAATGGCATTCATGAAGTTGTGAGTAGAAGATACTGAAACTTTAATTTAGGTCATTTTATCATTTGTTGTTTTGGTTTATGCCCGTTCTTAGCAAGACTGCTGACTGAGAAAATATCACTACCTATCAACTGCTTGCTCAAGTAGCAAAAACTATCATCAACTATCAGTTCAAATTTGAACATGTCCGAACTTCATGATAGTTGATGATAGTAAATGATAATGCATGATAGTTTGTGTTCAAACGCGTGTGATATTGATAACTATCATCAATTATCATGACTGTTTAAACTGGACCTACTTTTGCCCTAGTAAGAAGTAACAAGTATACCACTAACCTTCTTCTGTGTCATGAAGTCTTCATATGATCCTGGCATATTAAAGTAGAAGAATATTGCCACAGGAAAAAATACATAAAGAACAATCTGCAAAAACGTTGAATTTCTTTGGCATTGGTTTCAAAATTAATCGAAAATCGGGCTATGAGCTCTCAGCCATTCACAGTACATACTTCATGTCAGAGGAAAAAGGAGTAAAACTTTCTTATTTTACTACCTCTGGCCTCTCAACATACTAGAAAAAAGTTTAAAATTTGCAGGGAATGGTCACTTTTCGTTACATCTCGTGTAAAGAGGTTAATCAAATGCATTGTTTACGGAATAAAAACCATCAGACGTGCAATACCTGTGTTGGAAAAAGAATTCCCGGGCAGTCTTAGCCCTTGCTTGAAAATTTGATGTAATAATAAAAACGACATCACTATTGATCCAATATAACCTGACCTAACTAAAATAAAAAAAAAAAAGCTTAACAAAAAACACAAAAAGTATAGAAATTACCCGTCCTAGTTCTATCTTCGATCCGATCGCCATCTTGGACGAGGAAACTGGTACGCACTCGCGCAGTAGCCTTGATACGCATACATATAGGGAGAAAGCCGCTAGGGTTGTGATTGAAGTATGAGCCTGCGCTATCTCCGGACATAAACATGGCAGTCTCAGTTGGTGTTCCATCCATCTCCCAGGTTTGTGTTGTCTTTTTTAATGCATTGTTTTAGATTATCGTCGATTGGAACATTTTTTGTCGAATATTCATGTTTCATCTCATAGTACTCCTCCGATCTCGAGAGATTTCTGTCATTTTACCAATCAAATTTCCAGCTTTTCCTTGCTCCCGTGTAAGCTAATAATTTGCAAAATTAATAGGTAATTTCTAGTTGCACAAATTCAGTCCATCGCTCTTGGCTTATCTGAAATACACCAGGCGGGTTCAGATGTTTTTTTTTATATACAGAACAATGTATTTAGATGCTCTAAAGAAAATAAATGCCGCTCGTTGGTGAGCTAGTCCGTAACAATATTAATCAAGGCAGGGAGGAAGATGCGAAGATGTTACCTTGCCATTTAATTGTGAAATGTCTAAAGCAAATTCGGCGCGTAAATTACCATTTTTTTTTAATATTTAGTGAAATTCTTGCGACTGCTGTAGTTTTGTTTGAAATTGACCCTGTTTCCAGCGTGTTTCTCTCGTGACATTTCCTTATCAGTGCATTGTAAACATAGATTGAATTTTTGAAAAATCTAATCTTTATAGTAATAACGTGCTCTTCATATGTTCTTCCTTAATAATGGCCTGTTAAATTCACAGCTGTCAGCGGGACATGCGACTGTCTATGAGAATTTCTTCAGACAGGTATGTTTTAGTTAAGTTTTAAAAAAATTGGCATCATATAATTCGAAACAGAAACAGAAACAGTTACTTAATGAGTTATTACTTACATATTTGATAGCACCAGTATCAACAAGTAAAAGAAATGCGAGCTTGCGGTTCATTTCTTGTCTAAAATTCGGGCTCGACATAATTTGTTACATTATATTTGAGTGTTATACTGAAAGTGAGCATTTACTAGATGACGACAGAAGATCGATTTAATTATAGACAGTTTAGAATAATTATGGAATTACCGACTCGTGCGCTGAATAACAAGTACCTGGAAAAAATCAGAATTCATTTGCATAGAGCATTGCCCGAGGAACCAGGATAATTTTTGCTATGCAAAGACCATATGTACTGAGACTATTTAAAAGCCAACATATGCATATTAGAGAGAAATGAATAACCACAAAACTGTTCATAAAAATAGAAAATTATTTTGTCTTACTATTGTTTTACTCAAGGAGGTAAGTTTCTAAAGAAACTGTGGTGCAGCATCAATGGGTGATATTTCAAGACAATTTGGTTTCATCAGCTGAGTTGATAATAGGAACTCTATGTTAACCCTTTAACTCCCAGATCAAATTTGTCATTCTCCTTCCTGTTTACCAAATAATTCTTAGTTCAGAGAATTTAGTATTGGATCAACTTATTATCCCCAAATTAATATTTTTCTTTATTCTCATCTCTTATCTGGTTGATATTGTATTGATATTGTAAGGAGAAATTCTGTCTTGGTCACTCATGGGAGTTAAAGGGTTGACAAGACTACCTAAATGCTCATCCAGAATTGTACTTGATAATTACTTTTTTCTGTGTGTGTCTTAAATTATTTTAACAGGCAGATGTGTCTAACACTGGTCAAATTGGAGCATCAGATGCTGCAGCCTTCCTTAAAAAGTCTGGTTTAAAAGAGGGAATTCTTCACAAGGTAAGCATAACAGTTTTCCATTGTTAACTGTTTTAAGTAGTGGAGGCAGCTTTTATGGTACATCTTCTATAAATAATAATTATATGTTACCAAAATGGCCGAGGAGTTTTTTAAAAAAGATACTTTGTGTTTTATTGCAAATGAGATAATTAAGCTTAGAGCAATAATAACTGACCAAGAGTATTGATCAGTTGGTATGAACTTAATTTGAATATTACGATAATCAGAATTTTACCAACAGAGAAGGGAGTGAACCCAGCAAGCTTCACCAGAGCCCCGTTAGCCAACAGATTTCCTGGTTGATCATAATAAGCCTTTATGGCAACTGTGTGAACTTTTGTAGATTTGTTTTTTTATCAGGCATCCCCATGTTTTGCAATTCCATACTTTGCCTGTTTCCACATCCCTTAACATGGACTGAGGGTTGGACTTGGGAAGTATACGATACGTGTGTCTGAGACGATGTTCAATGTTAACTGCATCCATTCATTTTTTACAGATTTGGGAGCTATCTGATCCACAAGGAACTGGATTTCTTGATAAACATGTAACAATATATGGAATTACTTTTAATTATAAATTTAGCACTAGTAAATTGTTCTATTCTTCTTTATCAAATCTTTTAATACTTTTCAGAGATGTTCTTATTAGTAAACTGCTTATAATTAATTATACAGAGATTTTTCTTGGCACTGAGATTGATTGCCCTAGCACAGAATGGTAAAGATGTCTCACTGTCAAATCTGATGTTGCTAGTTCCAGCACCAAAAGTAGTGAGTATATAATGCTTATCAAATGCTGCTGCAATTTTTATAAATACATTTGGGATTTTTTTCAGATTTTTCTGTTTCCCTGCTTTCAAAGGTTTAAGTTTGAAGATTATGTTCAGTTTAACACTCTTGGACTTTGGCTAAGCAGTACTGTATATTCAAAATTCAGTATTGTAGTTGGTGTAAAGAAATTCTGTACATGTACCTTATTGTGTTTTTTTTGTACACACTCAGTAATCAAGCTTTTGAATAGGTTACCACCTGTAATATAATTTTTTCTTTTCATTGATTGTTTCCTGTTAGTTAACCCCTTACACTCTAGAATCAGTATCCATATTCATATTTTTTTTTTCAGGGTGATGTGATGCTTCCAGCTGTACCCCCTCCACAGGAAAGTACACTATGGGCTGTAAAACCAGCAGAAAAAGCTAAATATGACAACATTTTTGAAGTAAGTCAACCTAAGCAGAAGTAGAATCTATGATCTTGAAAAAATGTGGTATTAATTTATTGTTTCAATTTAATATGCCAACAACTTTCCACCTTCAATAATTTGCAAAACACTTTTTCTTAATTTAAGGGGCTACAACCAGTCAATGGTCTTCTTCCAGGAGAAAAAGTGAGACCTGTAAGTTATGAGTTTATTGATTAGTGAATTTTATATACAGCCCTGTTATAAGCAGCTAAATAGTAACAAGTCTTTTTGAAAGTGATTTGAATATTTATTTTTTTTGCAGAAAAACTTTTTTTAGTTCAATCACTTGAATAATGTTTTTTCCATCTTGTAGTTAGCTACCTCAAATGGTTATGGTATTTCTGTTCTTTATATTGTCTCTATATTGCCTTATACCGTAAAGCAGATGATGATTTGTCTATAACACTGACCTTGTTTTTTCAGGTTCTTTTAAACTCAAAGCTTCCTATTGATGTGCTTGGTCGTGTGTGGGAGCTTGCTGATATTGATAAAGATGGAATGTTAGACAATGATGAATTTGCAGTGGTATGAAAAATATGATTCATTTATCAAGATAAATGGCACATTTAACCCAAGCTTAAATCAAATTAAGGTTCAAACTCAATTTCTTTCAAGAGTCACTCAGATTTCTTTTGTTTCTGTCATTGATTCTGTCACTGTGAGAGTGTGAAAGGAGGTAACTTAGGTACTTGTGACAATACTGTAGTTATTTTTAAGAAGTTCATGGCAGAGTGCTGACTTGTTATTTTATTGTAGGCAATGCATCTTGTGTACCGTGCATTAGAAGGAGATCCAGTCCCCCTAACGCTTCACGGCAAGCTTATACCTCCTTCAAAAAGGAAATTAAAACTGTCTTCATCAGCTCCTTCCTCACCATCTCCAAAGGGACTTACTCCACCATCAGTCAGCAGTTCTGTTCTCTCCACAGTCACGGTGAGTTTTATTCTGAATCAATGAATTGTTATTCTCTCTTTGGGTCCTGAAATTATGTATGCCCTCCCTTCCTTCCAAAGGATTGGTCAGCCCTCCTTTCCCCCCCTGAAGATTGGTCACTTGAAATTCCACAAGGAACATGATGGGGTGTCAACTGCTTAAGTATTCCAGAAGAAGCAAGAACTAACTGAAATTTCTCAATTTGTGGGTGGCTGAAAACCATTTCCTCTTTAGTGAGGACATAAATGCCCTTATCTAAAAAGTCAATGTTGTTGCTGTACGAGGTTGCTATGTAGCACATCAAAAAAAAAAGGATTTCAACTTTCAAAACAGCTGGGAAACGGAATGATCATGTTTATCTAGAACTACATGTAGAAAGCATATGAACTTGGTTGTCTCAAATTATGCATAAAGGGAAGATTCAGAGTTTAATCCCCAGCCAGATGTCTATTTAGTTTTCAGCATATTTTGCAAGGTCAGACTTAAGTAATTAGAAGAACGCGCTTAAACAAATTATAACTTGCATTCTTAGACTACTCAGGAAAGCCCATGGGTTGTTACAAGTGCTGACAAGTTGCGTTATGATGCCATGTTCAAACAAGCCGATAAGGATGCTGATGGACTTGTCTCTGGTATTTTTAAATTCAGTGATGTTCCTATTTGTTAAATTTTCATCAGCGGTCCAGCAATATTGTTGTTCAAGGTGTACACTTTTGAATTTTTTCCTCCTTACACACAGTAGAAAATGTGTGAACTTGTACATCATGAATATTAATACAAGACTCACTTGTTGAGATATGGAAATATTGATTTGATGCTTGGCAGCTACATTTTGAAACAGGAAACTTTTATTTTCCAAAACAATGGTGAACAAAGCAAGCTGAATGCATTGAATAACAAAAGCAGAAACATGCTCAAGACTCGCTCTTTGATGCACACTTTTTTCCTTGTACAAAATGCAAAAAATGTATGAAGTTTATGTGCATTTGTGGGCCATCTACCTCTGAGCAGTTCTGTAGGTGTTATTAAATTATTTTCACATACAGCGGAGTTGTAGACTAAATCATACAAATTATGTAACTTATTCAGTCTGATTTTTTTTTTCATTTTTTAGGAGAAGAAGTGAAGAGTATCTTTATGGCATCTGGGTTGCCGCAACAAGTTCTTGCTCACATATGGTTAGAAATACTTTTACATGATGCCACATACCATCCATTACATAATCATTTTATTTATTTACATGAGTGTTGTGTCATCCTTTCTTGATCTGCTCTGCTAGTTTGAAACAACCATAACTCCAATGTTAAAAATTCTTCTAAAAAGGGCTAACTGGCTTGAGTATGACATCATGGTGCATATAAATGTATAGTATCTGTAAATGATTTGCTGCTCTGTTGATGACATTTTGGCAGTGGCTGTCTTGGATCACTCCATTTCAATTCAGTAGTCAGAAGAGTTTATGTTTGCTGTGTGCAACTATATGCAATAATGGAACATTTTATATTTTTACCATGCATAGTGTTGAGTCACAACTCATATGACTCAACACAAACTTGCCTAATGTTATTTTACTTTTCTTTAAGGGGACTGTGTGACACAACAGGCCAAGGACGCCTAAACTCTGAGCAGTTTGCCCTTGCCATGTATCTTATACATCAGAAGGTTATGGGTGTAGATCCACCACAAGCCTTGCAGCCAGAGATGGTTCCACCCTCCATGAGGAGTGGAAGTGCTGCCAGCCCTGCTGGGGGAGAGGAAAGAGTAAGATTCAGTTTCTTATAGATTATACTTGTTAGGGATGGCTTAGTGGATTTACCATCAATAATATTTTTTCTTGTTTCCTAACTGTTTCAAATGTAATGTTATGGCTAGTTGCTTGAAAAGTTTAATCTCACATATACAACAGATTTTCAGACATGTTTTGGAAGTTTGATTTATTTACTTTACCACCAACTCTTCATGTGACAATATATTTTTATGTAGGGAGAAAGGATTTCATAGGATTTGAGTATTGGAGAGTTTTTTCTCTTTTGTCCTTCAGGAGGGGGGAGGTGCTGGATCTGTCATTTCAACACTGAGTGATTTTTCGGCCATCAAAGAGCTGGACAAAATAACCAAAGAAATTGAAGACCTTGGGAGGTTAGTGTAATACCATTAATATTGAATTAAAATTTGATTTAGATGGTAACTACAATTTGTCATTTAATAATGGACTAAGGAATTTGCCATGATGTGTTTAGATTTTTCTGTTGTTGTATAAGGTATTTCTTCACTGGATTTAGCTGTGTTTTTTTTTTTTACTTTTAATGAGAAGGAAACATCTTCAGAAGGGCCTCTTGACATATACATTTCAAAATCAAAAATTCACTCAACCTTCTTTAAATGTCCCAAAATGCTTTATACTATACATCTTTAATTTTGGTTCCATTATCCTTTTAGCTCTGTGAATATATCTCTCTTTTTTTCATTTACTTTTTTATAATTTTTTTTTGTAGAGAAAAAGCCAGTTTGCAGCATGAGATCGAAGAGAAAGAAGAAATGATCAGACAAAGAAATGGAGAAATACAGGTAAATTGTCATGTTATCAGTGTCTTATCTGAAACTTGTTATTTGTCCAACATCATTATGGCTATCTTACTCTTTGTTTACAGAATCTACAGAGTGAACTTGAAAAAACTAAACTGAAATATCAAGAATTAGAGAGACAAAAAGCAGATTCACAAGGCAAACTTGATGACTTAGACAAAGAGGTGAGACATGTCTGAACAGCTCTCACTCTTCTACTTTCTGGCATTCATCTTAACTATGATATTTATAAACAGTTTTCCTTATCAGGCTTTGTGATAAGGTAGCTCTCTATTTCTCTTCACTATGCCAGAGTTGCTAGACAAATTCTGTTCCAAACTTTGTTTTTAACCCTTAAACTCCCAAGATCTGATTGTAAATTAGTTTTGAGAATTTGGTGTTAGATCAAGATGACAACTTCTACCTGATACATTTGAGTATTCTCATTACCTGTTTGCTGGATAGTGCATAGATATTGTAGGGAGAAGTTACTTTTTAATCACCTCTGGGAGTTAAAGGGTTTATTTGATGTTTTTTGCTTTTTGTTTCTTGCTCAATCCAAGGTATTGCAAAGGCATGCCAGGGGTGGGTCAGGGGAGGATCAGGGTATATCTAGCCTCCTCTTTATAATAGCATCCTTGTGCCAATAAGAAGCTAGTGCAAAATTTCTTGAGGGGAAATTATGTCTGTCATTATGTTTCTGCGCAGAGCATTTTCCTGCTGTCCTTAGTCACACAATAACTGATTTGCCTGCCTGATTGTCACTAGTGTTGTGTATTTTCCTTTCTTTTCCAGAAAGCCAAATTGGAAGAAATGTTGAAAGATGCAAAGCAGAAATGCGAGGAAGAAACAAAAACGGTTAGAGTAGTTCAAAACAGTAAATTTTAATTGGGCATCTGTTTCTGCAGTGCATGAATAATCACTAACATTGGGAATTAATGTAAAAATGGAAGAAAAATATGATTTCTGTGAATCTCTTTTTCAGATAAACAGTTTGCAAGCGCAAATCGCATCTTCGAGAAAATCAGCCCTGGTATGTGGATCTCTTTTATTTCTACACCTTTTACCAAACAGTAGAAAAAAAATTTATTCAGTTAAGGAAGCATGCCCCTCTCTAACAAAGACTATGGGGATCGAAGGTTTTGTGTTATTCCCCCTTTCCCCGTCCGTGAATCCATGTATAATCTTATGTGCTAATAAGATGCTTGTGAAGGATCCCAACCCCACCCCTGTCTATAAAACCCTCCCTACTCCTACTACCTAAATGTTGGTTTTGGTGTGAGGAAGAAAGTACATCTTATTTTTCACTTTCTGTTTTTTCTTTTTTTACTTGTAAAAGTTTGAACTGCTGATCCATAAGAAACCATGAACTTGATAGTTTTGTGAGATGTTATCTACAATTTTTGATTAATCATCCCTTTTACAGCAACAAGAAGAAGAACTTAGCGACGCGAGAGATGAATTGAACAGAATTAGAGAAGACGAAACCAAGCTAGAACGAGAGGTGATCAGAGGATTACATCTTTTTCTGTCATTTAACGTTGGAAATTTTGTTTCAACGGTGAATTTTACGTCTGCAGATCGAGTCCAGTAAAGAACACTTAGAGACAGTCCAGAAACAAATCAAAGCTGTTCAAACAGAAATTTCGCAGGTAAGTAGAACAACAATTTCGTAACCAATATTTCATGCATTCAAGCGAGCTCCCACTCGTATCTCAAGTCTCTTTCACTTCATGAGTTTAGAAAGGATATCAGTTACGAATATTTCTTTTCTAGGTCAGATCAAAGGTTTCAACACTTGAAGAAACAAATAATAGCCTAAACGCCAATATCGCACATTACAATTCGTTGATGAACTCCAATAGTTTGTCCAGTGGTCCAGCGTCCATTCCGGATTTTGCACCTCTGACAGATGCGTTTGACATGACGCCGACTCCTTCAGAAGCCGATGCCATGAGTGTCAGAGCAACGGTAAGTATGGAAGTGAAAGCAAACGCGATAAAAAAAAAAAAAAAAGAGTCCTCAATGTTTTCATTTGATTGGTCGCTCAAGGCAAGACTTTGACGGTGATTGGAAACAGTGTACTGATTTTTAACTGGTACTCTGTGGGTGTAAAACCAGATAAAAGATGGCAGCCACTCTCAAGATTGTCAGATATCAAAATTGAAGAATAGTTTAAGAGATGTCGTGGTAAATGTTAAAAAACAAATAGCACCATGGGGAAGTACGGCTGCCGAAGAGGGTCTTTTGAATGGTCACAGCACAGGACGTCATTAACCCTTTAACTTCCAGAAGTGATTAACATGTTAATTACCCCTATAATATCCATTCATTAACCAGCGAACAGGTGATAAGAATATTACTAAAACTCATCAGTTAGAAGTTGTTGTTTTGATCTAATGCCAAATGCTTGTAAGTAATTTACAAGGAAATGTCTAGCAACAAGACCAGAGAATTAACAATCAGAGCTTGGGAGTTTAAGGGTCAACAAGGTCAAACCTTAGCACGGTGAGATGCATCTCCATAACTGGCTTATTGAAATTAAAGGGTGGAAGTTTCTTTTTTCGTTTAGGCCGGTAGCAGTCCCGTGAGCAGCATAAGTGGCTTTAGTGTTGGATCTGGTCGAGTAGATGAAGCTGTAGATGATTTTAAGGTTGGTTGCTTGTTTGAAATTTATGGAGTTTATCACAGAACTGATATGTTTGTCTAAACTCTTTCGAATATTCAAACTTGATTCAACTTTCTAACTTCTTCGTTTCAGGATACAGATCCCTTCAAGAGCAAAGAAAATTTATTTAGTTCTTCGGAAACGGGTAAGCAGTAACTTTTGTCACATTTTCCATTCTTCAGTCTTCATTTTGATTTCTTTACCTCTTTTTTTTTTTGTAGTTAATATTGCCAGGTGTTTTTAGACCAGGATACAGGGAATATTTGGTATTAAGTCTCTGCCCTACGAGTAAATTTAAGAGTTTGACATGGTATAGTTAGAGTGAGATTAAATGAAAAGTTACCACATCGACCTATCAGAACATAGGTATACAACACAAAGAACCAATGAGAAATTCAAGTTTGGTGCATGTGACCGACCTCAAGCGCGGGAAACAGGAAAGACCAAGTCACGATTGGTTGTATCTGATTGGTTGATAAAGTGGCACGAGTTTTCTGAACCAATCACAGAGCGAAGTAAAGCGTAACCATTGCAGCCGACACTAAATCAAATGTTGCTTTTGCTTATATTCTCTTTCAGAATCTAACGATCCTTTCCACGTAGACGATCCTTTTAAAACAGACCCATTTCATTACAAGAGCGTCTCGTTCGCGGACCCTTTCCCAGGCGATCCGTTTGAGGTAAGACTACTTTGACGTATACACCACCCCTGTGATTATTACACCGTCAGTTTTACATGTTTCATACTTAGAACACTGAGGCGCGTCATGACTGGCATTCACGTTCTTCCCAGGGCGAAGATTTGTTCAAAGGTGATCCTTTCAAAAGTGACCTTCCAGCCAGTGCAGGAGCTAATGGTTCTGGAGCAGGAATAAGCAATGGTGAGTTGGCAACAGACTCTCCTAACTTTACATCTGTTGGAGTATAAATTTTAATGATATTGAAGAACAATCTTTTTTAAAATTTTTTTTCAAGCATGTGAAGAAGATTTTCCCAATTACTGTCACTAACGGACACGTGTGTATCATCTGTATCATCACACTTTGTCGCTTCGCAAAAGGCACAACAACTCAGTTCTTTTCTATTAACACAGAAATCTAGAGGGTGAAAGACTTCAGGCCCCTGTTGTTCGAAGGGGAGATAACACAATCTATCCATTGGATAGTGCAGTACGTTTTGTTAACATTTACCCTCTGGATAGTGATTTATCCGCTGAATAGCGTTATCTGCCCTTTGTTCAACTGGTTCCTCTGGTGGTTTGCCGTAAGATTACTAGATTCATCCGCTTCTTTAGCAAAGTGAGAGAAATGTTGTCACAATTGTTTACTGAAAGTGCTCTGACAGTCCATCCTGAATTAACTAAATTTTATTATCATTATTATTATTATTATTATTTTACTTTTTGAAGGTTTATCGTCTTCACCAGCAAAATCAGATCCTTTTGCTATGGATCCCTTCCAGAGCACATTTCCAAGCAGCAAAGTAAGTTGTAATGTCTTCCCTCTTAATATTTGTTAAGGTCAGATATTCTACAAATGAATCACAAGTAACTCATTTACGAATTAAACCCCTTCCCACCCCCTCTCCCCCCTCCAAAGGAAAATTCTACCTACTCCCCTAAAGAAGTTTCTTAGAATGAGCTGTGCTGTGGACTGAGAACAGTTCAGAGCCCCAGTGTAATATCAAAATTTTATTGTATCATGTTTTCCTTATCATTTCAGAGTCCGGCAGATAACTTTTTCAGCTCGGATCCGTTTAAACCATCTGGGAGTGGTTCAGATACTAAGAAAAGCACGAATAACTCACAGGATAAAGATTCTCTCTCGTCTGTCAAAGATCCTTTCAGCAATCCCTTTGGTCCTGATCCATTTGGTCAGTTTATTTATTACTTATTCTGTCTCTTTCTCTCTCTCTTATTTAAATGATATACTTATGTATGTTTTGTAAGAAAACTTTGATCATTTGCTGAGTTCTAATTACCCGCCTGTTTTCTTATGTATTTTAAAATATCTTCAGGAGAAAATAAATGTCGTGCTTCAATTGTTTATCTCGGTTAAAGTAACGTATCTTTTTTTTGTTTACTTTATTCTAGGTTCCTGATGAAACTCGACCTTTCCCGATTAAACATGCCGAATTGTCTGAATGTCTTCAAAAGTGTCGGCAAGAACAAGATTATGGCTCTTGTAGTCTGCGGCCTCAAAAACTTTGTTCAAAGTTAACGAAAACTAAGCAACGACTGTATTGAGAGTCGATGGGAAAAATAGCAGTTTCGGTCAAAATTTTATTTTGGAGAATTAGCTGAGCCCGCGATCATCTGAGCAAGTTTTGTTAAGTGACTTTTCGATCAATTTAGATATCTGGTACGTTACTAACGTAACAGCGTTCGGCGTGCTGATGAGCCTTTACTGATAAGTAAGAACACTTGATTTCAAAATGAAATAGATGCGTGAAAAATTGTGATGTTTTCGAGAGGGGTTCGTCTTCGCAGATTAAAGTGTCCGTTTGTGCGGTCTTTACTACGGGTTCAATTACGGTTGCTGGGGCGAATCAAATGACCGAAAACAGTGATGGCGGGCTCAGACAATACTATTGGTAAGGAAAGAAAGCAGAATATGAAGCTCATAAAGTTCGCTCGCTATCCTTTCACATAAACCTATGCAAAGCACATTTTGAGTGACTGTTGTAAAAACAATAACTGAGTATTTACAACAGCCAGTCAGAACAAAGGTAGTTATTCCAAGCAGTGAGCGAGAGTACAAAGTACAAATGGCACACTACTTGTAAGACCAGAAAAAGCAGATGACTAAGTCGCGTTTTGTTTGAATTGGGCATCACATTTCCTGAAAGGATGACTCGAGTTTCTCGTACCAATTACAGAACGAAGTCAGAGCGAGGTGTGAACCATAACCGTTGAAATGCCGGCTTTCTTTCGAAAATTGCTCTGGATTGGCCGACCCTGCTTACCTTTATGTAAAGGAATAGAGTTTGCTATGAGTTCCTTTTGTGAACAAAGTATGTTTTCATTTCGTATTCAAGGAGTTTCCCCTTCACTCTCAGAAAAGATTAACATATAACCTCTTCCTATAATATCTATACATTACCCATCAAAGGTAATATGAATACTCGAAGTTATCAGGTAGAAGTTGTTATCTTGATTTAACACCAAATTCTTGTAACTAATTGAAAGGAACTGTTAAGCAGTTAAAGAAGAGAATTAACAATTAGAACTTGAGAGTTCATGGATTGAGGTTGCATCGCGTTACTATTTTTGGATTTTTTTAGCTGACTCAACTTCTTTGTCAAGTGATTGGTCCAAGGACGAGTTGTTGACAAAAGCTCATTTGATATGTCGGAACGTATAATGTATTTAATCACTGAATTATTTTATTTTTAAACCACAGCAATAAACACATGCTAAGAACTAGGAATTTTATTGAACACACCACAGATGCAACTGATTCTTGCCTTGAAGTCTTAACATTGCTTGACGTCACTGCTGACCTCAGTGAATGAAGTAAAATGTGAGATAAACTTGAACTATAGTCACAAATGAGTCCATCTTGTTGGAAATAAAAAGTGTGACGTGACAGTATTACGTTGGATCCTTTTGCAACACAACGAAAGGTAGAGCAATCTTTAAGGCGGAAATCAAGAAACGTGTGGCAGGCTTTCGATAAAGCGTATTCCAGTAAGACAGCTTGTGCTTAAGTTGCGTTACATAAAAGCATTCCAAGTTGTAAAAAGTGACCAATCTCCTTTCAGTAACTAGCAGGATGCTGGATCAGGAGGAAATCGTGGCTGCACATCGAAACCGTGTTCATGATTGGAGCTAAACAAGAGTTGTGCGTTACGGCTTTAGTGTCTGGAATCAGATCCATGATAACAAAGTTTAAAAACGTTTGCGCGCTTTGTTATCTAACTAAAAGAAAAAATACCGAATCAGTAAAAGTTTATAACTTCGCCCCTGGCAACAACAGAAGCTACGCGAGTAACATTCATTCCTCTGTTCAGTTCCGATAATCTAATCCATGTCGCAGAAATATCTCGTATGCCTTGCGCTGTTTTTTTAGTTCCTAACTTCAAGCTTGTTCTCCGCGGATTCTTCGTCCCAGCTGAATAGCATTCGGAATGTTAACGTTTCGTCTTCCTCCGTGAACTGGAGACTGAAAGCTTCTTATTTCACTCAGTGTCCCGTTGTCAGGTCTGTAGCGGGTCATCTTTCTCTCCCCGTTTAAAATTCCGTTTACAGCAGTTTCGTTTTTCTGCTCCATAACAGATTCTTCTGGCCTGACCATCCTTTGACTGTGTTTCTCGAACGGTACGCAAAGAACACGCAATAACCAATGAATTCACGCTTTTGATTGCAGTTTATGAAGGGCGATTTTGAAAACCGCACGTTCTGCCCAAATGAAGAATTTTCATTGGTCGAAAGAGTAAGGAAGCAAGATTTAATTGGTCGGAGAGATAAACAAAGGAATTGATATTTTCACACATCCTGCATATCTTATAACTTATAACTTACTCAGAGTTACTCTAGTTCAGTGTTGGAAAATCTGCCCGACACGATAGATTCGCCACATTTTTTCAGAGTTAGATGAACAAAATATTTCCTAGTTCTTTCTAGTTCTCATTGACTCTGAGCTTGGCTTTGATTGAAGTGCAGTAAAACAGATACTAATTACCCTTGAGAAAAGCAATTTTAACTACGTTTTCATTTTAGTTTTTAAGTAGTCGCATGTTTATGAACGTTTTTGTCCATTTTACAATAGACTCTAATTTCTTTTGTTAGCCAAGACTCCATCGTTCGTCTGTAGCCTGCCACTAGGCGTTTTACTCTCTCCAAGTTATCCTTTCAAATCATCTACGGTCAGAAGCATCTTCCCATCAACTATTGTCCCATTTTGTTAAACTATCAACTTTTCTGCCTATACCCAGCCTTTCTGTCACTTGTATTCGGCGACGACTCTCCTTCAAACTACACTTGCCGTCAGTTTCTTTGTTGCGGGCTTCTTTTTCTACCTACCGTCGCTTTTTCTTTTCATGCCGCGCGTCAGAGTTGAAAGAAATGCGCTATACGGGTTGCCTTTGTAGCGAGCCACTTCCGAGGAGCTTGTCTACCACTTGAATAACGAACAGTTTGCAACTGATGTGCAAGTTAGTAGATCTCGAGTTACAAAAAAAGGAAACCTTAACAGTTTCAGTGGTTTTTTGTCATGCTGTTCCACCCTCTTGAAGTGATAGCGTGCTTCGCGCTAATTGGAAGAAAACAAAGGTATTTTTTTATGGGTCGGTAAAAGTTTTGAAAACAATTGTATTCCTAGTTTGATCTGATTATCCTAAGTTTTCTTTGTCAAAGCGTCTGTGTTTAATTTTAAACCCGTTAGAAAATTTCACAAGCATATTTGGGACTCTCTCAACTCATGCCCTGTGTGTAGGCTAGGCGAAGCTATTCACATGGGCAGAATGGGATTGTTAGTCGAACCAAGTCGTTTGTGGTAGCCAGACCACACCTTCTGTAGTCGGTCTTATTTTTGATGATATCCATGATTCAGAGTTTGTTTACTTTGACAGCCAGTAACTGAAACTAGGTTTCCTTTGAAATTGGCAATCAGGCTATTTAGAGATACCCGATGAATGGGCAGGTTATCAGCCAACTGGTATCCGGTCGTTCCGCCCGAGAACTATCCGCCCGAACTTCGAAGTAATTTCCCCCGATGTATATGTCGTCTTATCTATGCGTTGTGTAGAGTTCTTTAACATGGTATCTTAAATAAAACTAATGTTTTATGAGTTTTTGTAACGAAACACAACATGAATAGTTTAATATTTTTGCTGAGTTGTATACTGACTTTTGATATATAGATTTTTATCGCTTTTTAAATTATGGGTAAATATAATTTTGTTTTCATTTTGTAATCTATCATATTCCCTGCGGTTTCTTTGGATATTTTTTAATTTATTGTAAAGCGCATTAGATCATAAACTTATAATGAATTTTACGCTATATAGGTATTAAATTTATTATTATTATTTTATTCATTATTTTTATCGCAGAAGTTCTGGAGAAGTTCAATATCCCTGCGGTTGAACGAGCTGTTGTTTTGATAACACGGTCAACAAATATCTTCAAATATTACTAAAAGAAAAAAACAAAACAAAACAAAAAAACGGAGTAACAGCGTCATCTTTGTAACTTAATGCACTGTTTGTTCTTCGGGCGGATCGACTCCCATTCTCGGGCGGATTGACTTCCATTCTCGGGCGGATTGTCTTTCGGGCGGAACGACCGCAATTCGGAGCCACCAAATCTTATAAAAGACATAACCAGCTCATAGGTCCCCACTAATGAATTTCTCTGTTGTTGAGTATAGTTATCCTACCAATGGTTCGTGTGGGAGCCTCTGCTGAGCAAATCTGATCTACTCCTAAGATCCATCCAGTTTTTAAGGGAAGGTTTCTAAAGAGGAAATTTTCAGAAGTAAACAGATCCCCTACCATTATTAAGATCACAAAGTAAGACCACCCCCTGTCAGCCAATCAGCTTCGCGTAAATGAATCATTGCATCACTGGTCGAAATCTAAATTCCGCCATTTTTTGTTTTGGTTACAGTCGCCTGTCGTATTTTGGCAAACTTTTAGAACTTCAAGTGATTTTCCTCGGTACTATGGGGGTTATTAATGTTAACGAACATTTCCGAAATCGTCGTAACCAAGGAATGATCGAAAATTATGTAGCAGATCAGTAAGTACCGCAGCATTACATAACTTGATTTGTTTACCTTGCGCGGTTTTGAGGTGGGAGCCGGCCTTCCTTTCCATCGCCACGAATCAGCTGATTTTTTTGTCTAGTCGTTCTAGTTAGCTTTCAAGTGTGATCGTCATTAAGAGATCAAGAAACTGTTTCGAACGATTAAATGCCTTTATCACTTCTCGTGATCGTAGGATGATAACAGGTGATCGAAACGGCGTTGAAAACAGAATTATTTGGCGTTTTTTCGGCTCAATCGTAATAATTTTGTTTTCGGTGGACCACTTTCATCTTCGCTGTACCATGCAGGCTAACCAAACGTTTTAGCTATGTCAGCTGTGGGTTAAAATACACTCAGCTGATATATATTATTAAAAACCGAAGCCGCTTTGCTCTTTCAGTGCTTCAGAGGAAGAGTACTTAGAACCTACACACCCTCAGACTCCCCAGCAAGACTCAAATCAAAGGCGGCATACACGTAATCGATCGCAAAAGAAAAAGGTACAATACGACTCAAGGAACACTGGACGCAGAGTGAAAACCGGAAGCCGGCCGATGAGAAGATATGAGAATTGTAAGCGAAGAGCTGGGAAAGAGAAAACCTGAAAGCTGAATATCTGTCTCCTAACACTAATTCTATTTGTTTCAAAAGTATAATTTTTCACTATGAAATATTTTAGATGGTGGTAATGACGTGATATTCCAACATCCCACATCCATTTGATTGAGTACACTAACCCTAGTTAAACAAGATTGGGTGGCTATAGGTGAGGGGGGGTATAATCAGGGGACATTGGATGAGTGAGTCAAACTGACAACTAGGTAGTTTTTGTAGCCATTTGATTGAAGAAACCTCTTTCTGCTTCAAAGTTCAACCCCTCAGCCTTCACTTGCTCAGAGTAGTTTTAAAAAGACTGCAATGGCAAATTTTAAGCTTTCCTTTTTTTCTCCTTAATCTTAAATTCAGTGTGTTTTCTGCTGAGTTTGGTTGACCATGAGGAAATTGGAGAACTTGACATCTCTGATTTAGTCAGCAACAACACATCCGTGTTTGCAAAACTTTTGAGTAATGAAGAAAGCATGAAGGTAATGCTCTTAATTGTTTATTACTCAATGGGAGGTGAACAGTCGACACTGTGATAAACAACTTAATTGTTCACCAATTCCTTGCCGACCAAATTTCATTTATCATCACAGGAATATTACATTTTTAATCAGGCATGTGATGAGAATCAAGAGAACTATCAACAAAGGGATTCCATCAATCCGTCATGAAACCAAATTTTCAAAGTGAAATTATCAATTAAAGCCTTATCACATCACAGCAATTAATATTACAGCTGCGGTATCTTTGCCAGACAACAACTATGTACTTGACTCTGATTATAACTTCTACTCAGGTTGTGGAAACATTAGTCACTTCTACAAACTAGTCCTTCAAAGGACCACACTCACCCAGACAATCAGACTACACTATCACATAAAGCCTTGTCAGTCAGTAACGTAAGTTTTCATTGAAAAATAGATTTGGAATGGGTTTGTAAACCTCTCTGAAGAAGAACAAGAAGCTTTTATGGTTCCAAAGAGGAAAACAGCTGCACCTGTTCAGGATGTTGATAGGGAAAACACAGCTGAAGATGACATCCCAACAGAGCGAGGTATTGTGTTTCTCTGCTTTATTTAATAGTGCTTGGTAAACATGCTTAGTCTTATTGATGCAGGTTTCTCTATTTTTTTTTTTTTTTTTTTTACTTAGATGCAGTAGCAGTTGCAGAAAAGGCTTTCAACAGAATTGAAGGACGTATCAGAGGAACCCTTACGAAAAAACGTTTCCCAATGGTACTGCAGCTTTTTCAATTAATAAAGCTTTGAGAATTGATAATGGCTCATTTTAAAAATGCAAAATTCCCTTTATAGTATAATTACATTGATTAAAAGAAGAAACGAGATTGCTAAATAAAATTTCATGCTACCTTAATCTTCTAAGTACCCGACCCCTTCTCATGAAAACAAATTATGTTAAAATTTAGAGAGTTTTCTATCATTCTTTTATATTTTTTTATTTTGTACTTTTTTTGTCATCAGGGTGGCCTAAAATACCATGAACAGGAGGTGGTTGCATATTTTTCTGATGATCCCACTGCAGTCATGATTTCCTCTGTTCCATCCAGGTACGTAGATACAAATCATTTTTAAGGTCTGCATTTATTCCTTTTGTTAAGGTAAATATGAAAAAAAAATTTGAAAATATATCCCTCTTTTCAACCAACAAATGAAGGGGGAAGTGGTGTTTGAGATGGATAGTTTACAGTTGGATGTTACATTGACAATAACTAATGACAAATTAAAATAACATAAAATCCTGTTTTTTCTTTAGTTTTGATAGGCTGTTGGTGCATGGTGTATGTCAGTTCCTAGGTTTGAAATCAAAAAGTGAGTATTTTAGCAGTGAAGCAGTTGTTACTTTGTTTTATGTTAAGGAGCAGTCACTGGATGTCAAGATTAGCCATAATCATGCAAGTTGTAATGTTTTTATGCTTCACCTGCATCAATTTGAATTTGGCTGTGTGGGACCTTTGAATGTTGTGTGAATCAATGAATTCCAGCCTAAATTTCATCTGTAAGGACCATTTTATGATTTATAGTCACAAAATGGGAACTTTGGAGGCCTTTATAAATCTAAAGAAACTAAAGGTTATAAAAATGTAAACAGTAATTTCTTAGGGTTAAAACAACAGTTTCACCAAATCATTTGAGGTCTTATCTGCATAGGCCAGGAAATAAATTTTATGTCAACAGCAGCCCCACAACTAACAGAGCTCTTTGGTAAGAGCTAATCAGGGGCTGGGGATGCAACACTCAAGGGAACCTGTTTGGTGGCTAGCAACCAAAGAAGAGAAAACTAGATACATTCCTAATTACTATAGCAAACTAATGTGGCTTTTACTTATAATTTAATATGTGATATCACTTTCTTTACTCCAAGGTACTAGTCGTAATGGAGACCGCATCATGGAGATTGAAAATAAACAAGACACGTTTTGTGTTCCATCTCTCCTTCTCTCCCAATACTTGGAAAAGCGTAGATAACATTACAAATATGGATCAGTTGTATATATCAGAGGATTATCAGACAACATTGATTATTAATACAATGGTGTTTATAGAAATTTGATTGCGTTGTAGATAGCGTTCAAAGAAATATTCTATTCTACTCCTGGATGTAGTGGTCATTACATTAATGAAGAAAAGATAACTGTCACTGTCAAACAAATTTAGTTTATATTACCTTGATTGACACATACATGGGAAAATGGTCCATAAAAGTTTTTGGCCTTTTTCAAATTGTATCATTTTATCAAGTCACTATTTATAGCCTTGTTGGTTCCAAAGTGGGAGGTGAGATCTTAAGAATTTGATATGGGAAACTAGATAGTTAAACTTATGTACTGTATAATGTTATAATAAAAACTTATCCATTACAGATTAACAAGATGTTTCTTGGAAATTCAATCACACTACACCCTATATATGACCCACCTCCTGCAAGATGTCATTTAGACTTTCTGTCTGACTGTCTGACAGTAAACTACTCCCACCCCCTTATAAAGAGGTCCCCCTATGCTATGACAAACACCTTCATATGCCCATGATAGTTGGAGTGTGCTTAGAATCAAATGATGATTTTAGTCATGTTTTTTATAGAGGGCTCTAAAGTAACTACATCTTAAACTGTGTGAACCCTGCCTGATATCAGCAAACAATTAGTGAAAAATGGAAATACATCAAAAAAACACCCCATAGCATCTGCATCAATTGCTGTTCTGTTGTTGTTGTTGTCTTTGTTGTTGTTTTTCTTCAATCCCCATAAGCGCATGATTAGGTGGCTGCTCTTTTCCGAATTTGTTGTGAAACTACAGAGTTAGAATACTAAGTTCTATAGAGTGCGAGATGATTCCTTGAAGTAACCACCATTATTTAGTGGAAGCCCAAGGCCCCTTACCCCAGCATTGATGACAAAAGCAATGCCTCCTTCCCTTACCCAAGACAAACATGACATTAAATGTGTCAATTGTGGATAGGTAGCCATCAGCTTTGAAGCATCAAGCCAAGGAGCCTTGCTACTCATTCATTGCTCTGCTGCTCAAGGCTTCACAGTGCACATCGAACCATTTGCCTTACAGGCTTTTGCCACAGGCTGAACCTTTTAAAAAGACTCCCAGCTAAGAATTCTGAATTGACAAGAGGTGAATGATTTATAAAGGATGTAGTAAACTCACTAACCAATTTTTCACAGGCAATTCACACCTTAAAAGAATCTGAATTACTTTTATTGTTTGTTAACAATATACAAAATTTTGAAGTTTAAAGTATCACACAAAGTCAAGACAATGTATCAGATGCTAATCTTTCAAAAACGAAAATAGCTCTATGGTATTCAAAAGGTCAAATATAGCTAGCAGCTTTGGCACTTGTTTACTAATGAAAATTTGTATTACTGTTAAACTGTATGCAGGAATGAAAATTTGATATGAAGCTAGACTGCCAAGACCACCAAAAACCTTCTTAATTCCTATATTAGCACTTACTAATAAGGATATAACATAGGATAACACAAGTAATGGGAAAGATTCCTGACTATTTCACCAGCCATTAAAAGGTACATCAGACATTGCATTAGTTATGTCCTGGGCACTTAATTGAGAACTTAGTTAAGGAATGTCCTCATTTTCAAATTTCAAATTGGGTATATTTTCCTTGTGCAGAGGTAAATTTGATAATAATTTTGCTATAATGTTTTTTAAAAAGCCTAACTAAAATACACTATTAAACCCCTGCCTCCCCCCTCCCCCTCCCCCACCCAAAAGCTTACATCTTGGAGTTACAAGGATTTATAAGTCGAACATTATTTGGCACTCCATCATAAGGGTACAAGTGCGTAGAGCACATTTAGCTTTCCAGCAGGTATCAATGCACTCCACTAAACTGGATTACCTTAATTTACCATGGGATAAATTAATATTATCAGAATCTTAGTCATGATCTCTCCTGAATGTAGAGGTTTACAAGCATGCTCCTTTTAATGAATGTTCACAATTCACAAGGTTTGGCTTGAATTCTGTAGAACTTTGTTCCTACAGGAACTCGAAACCTGTTGTGTGGCTAAAAATGAGGAATGAAAAGAAGATTTTGGTTAGGTATAATGTTACCAATCAGATTAACCCTTAAATCCCGAACATCAGTATGCATATTCTTCATAATGTTGTCTACACAGTTCTCAGGGGACTGAAAGGGAAGAGAATTTTTTAACAATCAGTAGCTTCTTTAAGTTGTGATCATTTCCATGATCTCATGAATGAAGCTAAACATGAGGGTGGTACCTACTATGCATCTGAGCTGAAATTCAAGGCTAATCAAAATGGATAATAGTCATTCAGGCATTCCTATTTACAAGGTCAGCACTGCTTTGAGCAGTAAAGATTAAGGCAGAGAATATGTAATGGAAACTTCGAGAGGGATTTGAGCAAACCTTTCAAGAAGAATTAGTTTAGACCAATAAATATTTCCTATTTCTCACTGCCATAAAATATTTCAGTGATTGATTCATGGTCAAAGCAGCTTTTATAACAAGTATTAACCTATAACTCTACCTTTTTAGCTTGACAGTATTCTTTATCAGTCATCTGTGCAAGCATCCATGGTCTAAGAATCGAAATGGAAAAACAGTTAAAGTTTCCACCATGTTCAAATAGGATTATTTGTTTGTTGAACAGGTTATGTTCAAATCAACTGAAAAAAATCTTAAGAGTAATATAAATAATTTAACAAGAGGGAAAATAAATCAACAAAATTTGAAACTTACCGTTTTTTAGGGCCACCTAAAAAGGTACAGAGGGAAGGATAATTAGAAAAAGTGCTATTGTTATATCCTTTAAACAAAAAACAGCAGTTTCCTCTAAAAATATTTGATGTCACCAATTTAAATATTAGCGAAACTTGTTTTAAAACACAATGCTCAAAAGTGGATGTTACTGTCAAACAAAATGAATAAGCTTCATTGAACACTAAGGGGAGTTCTTCAAAAGCTGGTTGACCCCTTAACTCCTAAGATCTCATTGTTAATTCTCTCCTCTAGTTTCTACTCTTTCCCTTGTACATTAGTTTGGAGAATTTGGTGATAGATCAAGAAAACAATTTCTACCTGTCTAAGTTTGAGTAGTCTCATAACCTGTTTCCTAAATAATGCATGGATATTATAGGGAGAAGTTACATGTTAATCACTTCTTCTATTATCAGCAGCCTCTTAGGATAAAGGTCAGAAAGACCACCCTGCTCAATACTCACTTGTTGCAAGATCTAGTCCTGCCATTGAGTCTGGGTGTAAAAAGAACAATGTTGGTCCTGTACTCAAAGCTACATAGTTCTCATATCGTTCATCAAATATGAGAAGAATCATATCACCACTTTGAAAGCTGTGGGGAAAAAAACAACAACACATGGTGAAGATACATTTATGTTATTGAGAGTTTTAATCTTTAAGTGGGAAATGTTAACACTAATGAGCTGCTGTTTTGCTTCTACCCCCTGGATGTGGCTTCCAATAAGAACAGTCTCTCTTTCCCAGCTAAGTCCAAAAGAACACTTACTGTACTGAGTCGAGCCAGAAGCTTATAACCAAGTAAGTCATGTCACAATGTAAACACTGATGACTGAGTAGTAATGCTGTTGATACAATTCATTTTTAAGATAATTCAATTTGACTTGTGAAATGAACTTAGCTAAGAAAAAACACCACTCCTAGCCTAGGATTTTATGATGCCAGCACCCACTTGTAATCCTAGATTATCTAAAGTGGAAAAAAATTTTATTCCATAACCAAATTCGGAACCAATTCTTACTCTCTCAGAGAGATTTTATCCATCTTTGATGATACTGCACTTGCTCCACCTGGTGGTTTTATCTGATTCTGTAAATATAAATGAACAAATACATGATATTGCTACTTGAAGAAAATATCATTCTTGCATGCTTATTCCCTATATGATACCACTCATCGTCATTAATACAGTAGTACATAAACCCATTCACTCCAAGAACTGACCGATAATTTTATTATTTTAAGCTCCTTACTTTATTATGTACTTAATGACTGAGTGGGAGGGACAGATAGGAATATACATGGCTTAAAGTCATGACACATGGACCTCTTGTCAGCCCATAAGGATTTTAACATGTGATTGTCCTTCTCCATTTTTTTCTATTATTCTTTCAGCTCACAGCTTTCAGGGCCATATGTCTTGGTATAGCCTTGCTCATGCCAGAGCCTTTGGCCCTGTTCATGCCACAGCCTATGGCCCTCATACAGTACTGTTTGTCACATTTTTTTTAATAAAAGTGTGTATGTGGCTATATGGGTCATGCAGTAGGGTGGGTTTTGTTTGATTCAACAACACATTCTTAGAGCTACCCTACCAAAAAATGTACTGTAAACAGTAAGGAGAGGTGATATTAGAATCTGGGAGATGAAAGAGGTAGGTTAGTTTACTTACTAGCTGTTGCTGAAGAAGTTTAATCTGTTGCTCTTTTGCCTCCAGAGCCTGTAAAATATAAATATATTTTCAAGATCTTTCCTGGTTCTCTCATGTTAGTGAATCCGATTGGTGTAAAAAGCATACCCTCATAGGGTGATCTGACTAGTGTGAGATATGTAACCTAACGCAGTGATCTGATTGGTGCATTGGTGCAAACAACATAACACTCGATACACTAACATAGAGTTATTTTATACATCCATTTTATATATCCATCTTTCCATTTTATATATCCACCATTATATATATAATAACTAACTAAATGCTTCACTTTTTGGACTCACTTGTTTCAGCTGACCAAACTTGTCCACAGTTTGCTCTGACAACGTTTCAGTCAGCTTTTTGTTTTCCTGTAAAATGAAATGTTAATTGCAATAAGGTCTGTCATCTATATGACACTTGAACCTCTTTATTTTAAATACAAATTAAGGACATCAATTAAAAATATGTAGTACCAAAAAGTATGTACAGGAACAACATTTAAAGAAGTGTGACTTAGAATTTGGTGATTTTAACATGACAGAAAATGTATACATCTTAATGAAGAGTTCATCACCTCTTCCAGGAATTTCATCTTCTGTTGATCATCCTCCTCAAGCACAGCATCAGTACCACACCTGCAAACAGTGGTTATGATGTAAGATTATAACAGACTATTACTTACACCTTTATGCCTAATAATTAATAATATTCCCCTTTGCTCAAGTGCCAACACCCAGAGAGCCATCATCTTCAAGAGAACATCTCACAATTAAGTAAATATCACAAACTGACTCCAACAAATGGCTGTGTTTTAGTCCCAACTGAAGACCTGACCCAGTTTTTCAAAGGGCAGATAACGCTATCCAATGAATCAATCTTGCTTTTCAGCGAATAAGTGT